CAACTCAAAATCATGACTCGTTCTAATCTAATATAATTTTAAGATTACATTAATTAGTTAATTATCACCAAATTTCTGGTCACGCAATAATTTATTGATTTATTTAAAGATGGAATCGAACTATATAATATAAGTGGAATTATTTAATATAATTTGGACTGATTCTTTGATTCTTTCCAACTGAATGACAACTATATATACATATATATATATATATTTATTTATTTTTTATTTAATGTATATAGTGAGTAGTAGCGTATGCTTAATAAATTATAAGTAAACCAATAATCCACGCACACCACAATTATTCAATCTCAAACAAATCAATAAAAATAATATGCCTACGTATTAATTAACAATATATAAATATGTATATATTAATTCTAAATAATCAATCCGTTCACTCAACGGTTTAAATAAATTAACTTTTTCTGTGTAGTACGGGTATTCTAATACTCCCTCCAGTCTTATAAATATAGTCTTAATTAGGTTGGGTACGAGATTTAAGGAATATTGATATTATATTAGTATTGGGTAAAAAGTATGGACAAAAGATTTTTTTGCCCTTGTGAGTGTATTAGTTAAAAAGTGATGACAATTGTGTAATAAAAATGAAAAAATAGGGGTAGTTTTATAGTGATATGGTTATTTATGAAAATAAGGCTATTGTTTTGAAACACACAAAAATGGTAAATAAGACTATTGTATTGGAACATATAAAGTATAAAAATAATATTTCATGTTGAATAGTTGATTTTTTATAAGTGAATTACATATATTATACTCCATCCGTCTACACACAAACTAAATATTTACTTATTATATTGGGTAGTTAAAAGTAGTAAAATGACATTTTTGCCTTTATTTTTTTTTGTATAAAAGTAATAATGTGATGTACAGTAAGGGTATTTGTGTAAAAAAATGAGGTATTTAATGATATATTTATTTTGTAATTGAACGTCCCAAAATAAAAATATGTACGTTTTCTAGCTGGAATGAGAGAGTATTAATGTTTGTATATTTGTATTATTTAATAATATTTATGAAAAATTGTTCCATTAAAAAATATTGAGTGAAGATACCGAATATATATTAATAAAAACGAACTAATATGTATATTTATATTATGAATGAATTGTATAATCAATAGGTGTAATTTTTGAATGAGTACGGTGGGTTGACTGGTTACTAAGGGCGTGTTTGGTTCAAAAGAAAAAATGAAAAGAATTTTAATAGAAAAAATTTGATAGATGAAAATAGGAAAGAGAATATTAAATTTATAATATTATATCTGGTTCATATGAAATAGAAAAAAAAAAAAAAAAAAAAAAAAAAAAAGAAGAAAGAAGGTAAAGTGGTATTTTGTGTTTGGTTAGAGGAAAAAATGAAAGAAAATAAAAAATATTAATAATAAATTTATAATTATGTCATTATAATATATTAAATAAAAAAAATTAAATTATATAATAAAATTTAAATAATTTATTAATAGAACATAGTATAGTCCAAAAATGTAATATAGTTGTTTCATATAGATATTTGTTTAAACTAAAATATAGATAAACACAATTATTTTAAAATAATAACAATATATATATATATAAAGTATACTAGTTAAGTTAATTATTAATACTAATTTTAATTATTTAAAATTTAATTAATTTAAATGTATTTATTTAAATATTTTATATTAACTTATAATCATACATTTGTTATATAATTTTTTTTAAAAAAAAAATATTATAATAAATTGATTTAAAATATTTAATTGAAAATATTTCAAAATATAACATTGTATAATTTAGATATACAATTCTATATGAATAATATATATATATATTTCAAATTAATTTTAATTACTAATTACACTTTAAGTTTTTTTTTTTCCAATATTTTATAAATTTTCAAGGTGAGATTTAACTCGTAACATCAAATAGCTATTTTACAAGGAAATAAATACAATATATTTATAAAGTCAATTTATATTATCTATGTGTAATTTATATATATTACTCCATCTCCATCTGTCTCAACTAAATTGTCTTATTTAGTTTAAACACGGAGGTTTCGATATTATATCATTAGTAAATAATTAATAAATATATTAGTAAAAATAATTATTATTTAATAAAAATAATTATCAATTAATATTAACATAACTAAATAGTTTAATTAAAAATATATATAAATTATAAATTTTAAAATATGATTAAAATGTAGTAACGGGTCGGATGGTTCCTCCTCGAACACCTTCCCGTCGGCCTAGCGATTCTTCGACTCTCTCGAGAACTCGCTAGTACAGCCATGCACACATCTCTAACGCACACTAAAATAAGAATACTATAAGATACACCCGGAAAAGTAGAATGGTACAAGTGAGGACCCCTCCTCTATATATAGGCACTCTATCATGGATATTTATATCTTAGCAAGATATGAATACGCCATATTTTAAAAAAAAAAAACGAATTACATGGGAGAGGGAATACTATCTTTCTCCTTCCTTAAGGCCATCTGCATCGGGTTTCTTTCCCACGTCAGCATAAAAAAGAAAATAAAAAAAAAAATGGTGAAATAAGCAAGAATTGGCGCTCAGCACAGCAGCGGCCTGTTAGTTTTTCGTTTTTGGGGTTTAGGGACACATGGTAAGAGGAAAAAATTGTCTATGTTTATTATTTTTATATATTTTATTTTAATTATATATATTAATAATTTTATTTTTACAAAATAATACTGATATTGATATATTTTTTAAAAAAAAAAAATTAATTAATAATAATAATAAATATTTTTTAAAATTTATAAATTAAATTATTAAATAAATTAATTATTATTTAAATTATTGTAAAAATAGATAATTTAATAATATTAAGTAAAAACAATTACAATTTGGATAAATAAGTTTCTTTGATGTGGGTATAAAATAAAATGAGTTTTTTAGATGATGTGACGGAGAGAGAATATGATATGGAATAGATAAAAAAGAGGAAAGAAATCCATATTTATTTTCATTGATACTGATGCTCTAAGTTAATTGTTTATTTCTTTTTTAAGTGAGTTTAATAAATATTATATTTTAATGACAAATTATATAATTTTTTTTAGCGGAGAAATTATTTTATTTATATATTTTAATTTGATATAATTAATTATTGTACATAAATATAAATTTAAAAATATTTGGAATATGTTGCAAGTATTGAATTTAGCCCCATATTGGTCGAAGACTGCTTATTGGAATTTGGAGAAATATGACCATTGGAGCAAGTAATCTACTTGAAAAAAGAAATGATAATGGGCTGGGGGTGACAATTTGAACCTAAGCCCAAAAAAAATTAAAAATTTTAATGTAAAAAATAAAATAAAAATAATTAAATTAAATTAAATCTTATAATATGGATTTGCCACCTTCCCCCAAAGTCTATTTTATCTATTTTACTATTCATCACATTACTTTAAATTTATAATAATACATAATATTTTTAATCATAAATTTATTATAAAAAAAGAGTATAATTTGTTATAAAAAATTTTGATTCTGTATATTTTTGTCAACTTTTTTTTTTTCTTATAATTCTTTTTATTCATCGTCACTCCACAATAGTGTCAATAGGTATGGAAGAAATTACTATGACATTGAATCAATAAAAATGAACTAAGGAATGAGTTCTTACAAAAAGAATTTCAAACACAAAAAAAAAAGAAAGAATTATTGGTTCAAATAAGAAACTGATTTGTTTCATAATTCGAAATTGCTGAAATTGAAATCGAACAATTAAAAAAAATGGAATTAACAAGACAATTTTTTCCTCGAAATCACAAAGTTGATTTTGTCACTGAAAAAAAAAAAACGATAACAAAAAGAGATGTAATGAAAGGACATAATGCGTGTAATAACGAAGATTAAAATGAATTTAATTGATGAAGTACACTATAAATAAATGAATTTGTGTGTAAGAAATGGTATCGTGGTGTGGTGTGGGGTAAATTCGTGACCGTGAGGTCATAGATTGAAATTTTCAATACCTCTAAATTTTGTTTGTTATACATAATTCGTTTAATATAACTTATCTAAAGTGCACTCGAAAATAATTGGAAGTTCTCATAAATCGTTGCTGCTATGCCCTTCTATAATAGCAAATATATTGCCTAATTATAGCCAAATAAAGCATTTCTCAATGATCCATCAATAATTTTTTGTTGGGTGGCAAATTGGCCCGGCCTGACCCGACCTGAGGATTTTTTAATTTTTCTAGTTTTATTTTTCTTAATTATAAAATGTTATGTTTTAGAATTGAATTCATGACTTTATATTTATATTTATACAAACTAAACCATTAAATTACTTTTATTTTTAACATAAAATTATTTGGTAATATATTTATAAATTAATTTTTCAAAATTATATTTAATCCTGAAATTTTTTAGGTCAATCTTTTTAGACTCACTTTTTATGTCGGATTCGGATCAAATTTTCGGATCGTACCTATTTTTTTCAGCTATATATTTGATTAGTTGTGACAAGTTGAAAAATACTTCCTCCGTCCCAATACAATAGTCTTGTTTACTATATTTTTTCGTTCAAAAACAATAATTTCATTTCCATAAATAACCATATCACTGTAAAACTAATTTTACTTTTTCATTATTATACACAATTGTCACTACTTTATACACTAATACACTCACAAGGACAAAAAAATATTTTACCCATATTTTTTATCCACTACCAATATAATATCAATATTACTTAAATCTCGTGTCAAACACATCAACTTAGACAATATAAATTTATTGAAGTTTTTTCTTCTCTCTTGTATCATTGTATCTGCTCTAACCCAAGCCCATGAGAACTGCCGTGCTCCAGGACCATACCATCAACATTATCCGATATTTGTTTCGCATTACAGATGAGTTGGTCCTGAGGTCCTGGACCCTGCCTTCATTTTAGCGAAACCTGTTCCCGCTCATCTTCCCATTTAAACATAACGTACGCTCCCTTCTACTTTTTGCTTTGCTGCTGTTCGTCTTCGTCTTTCAGAATCGCCTTCGCCATGGAAATCAATGGCTCTTCACTTCCAGGTTCAATTTCGTCTTCTCAATTTATTTTATTTTTCAGTCGTTTCTTCCATAATCAAACTACTGCTGTTCCAAAAATCATTGCTAAATCGGCATGAATTCCTTGCAGTTAGATCGAAATATATGAATTCAAAACCAACTGCGAAAGCCTCTGAGGCCACAAATTTCAATTCCAAGGCCAGATCGTCTCTCCTCAGGCAAGAACAAGCGGCAAACAATCAATCTGGCGTGTGTGCTGCGTCTACGCGAAATCAATCACACTTTAGCTTTGTCAATAAGGATAAACGAGTATTTGGTACTGCTCGAAACCCTAACGTTCGCTGCGTCCCTTCGAAGACAGATCCGACGAATCCAGCCAAAGTCAAGGCCAGAAAAGCAGAGAAACCGTCCGGAGCAACTTCGTCGCCGCCTCGTACAGTTGCAGAGGCGAAGAGCTCGTCGGAGAAGAACGCCGCAACGAAGCCGAAGAAGAAAAGCGTGTCGTTCGATGTGGTAAAAGTCGGAAAAGATTTACCTAATGAAGAGCTTCAAACGCCGGTGAAATCAACGCCTGAAGCTGCGGCCAAACCTAGGCGTTCGGCGACGCCGTATTACACCGCCGACAAGTGCAGCAAATGCAGATTCGACAAGCTTGAGACGGCAGCCTATTGGCTTGCTCAGATCAAATCGGCGGAATTCGTTAGTAAGCATTCAGTTTCTGCTGCTTTCTTCGGTAGCATCAAAGGTGAGCTTAAGAAATATATAACTCGGCATGAGCATTTACATGAGGAGGAACAATGGAAAATTTTATCAAGTAGCTATGGAGTTTTGAGAGAAGAATTCAACATCAGTGCGAGTGGGGAAGAAGATGAACAGAGCCTGACATAACGAGGTTAGTATTATTGTGCCTTTGGTGATTTTATTTGGTTATATATTAATTTATGTATTTTTTATTTGGTGTGTTTGTAATTTGTATTGGATGATAAATGTGCACTTATGTGTGGCTGAATCATAAAAGAGTTTTTGATTAGGTAAAACCAGGCCTGACGGAAAAGTCACACTCGAGATGTCGGGGTTTGAACTTATGACCTCACGATTACAAATCTAATCTTTACACCACTAGGTCATTCCTTACTTTTAAGAGCACAAACAATAGCTCTAGTTGAACAAACAGTTTTAGATGTCATGTGTCCAAGTTCAAATTCGAAGTTCAAAAACATCCGCAATGGCTCACTCAAACGAAAAACTAAAATCAGAAATTCTTATTTCGAACCCTTGCCGGATTTTCAATCAGCCTTCATGAATTTCCATCAATCTTTCCGGATTTCAATTAATTTCGCCGGATTTCATCCAGCCTCGCCTCCATCACCACCCTTCTCCTCGATCCAACAGTCGCCGCCACCAACTTTCTTCTTGCTGCCTGTGATCGATCCCCAACTGCCGACCCATTTGCCCACGTGTAGAAGAGAAGACGGAACAATAGAAAAAGAAAGAGAGAATAGAGTAAGAGATGGAAAGAGAAAAGAACTGTCAATGTCGCTTCTCCTGCACCAATCTAAGCGGATGCCGCTTCAATTTTGTGCCATCGATTGGAGGGTTATTGTGTTAAAAAATTTCTAAGAAAAAAACAAAGGGCGTCAAAGTTGGAAGAGAAGAAATGACGTCAAAGGGAGAGCCGTTGTATCTGCTCTAAGAGAAACTCTCTCTTTCCGCCATGCATCATATGTGAAACTATTATGCTTTTTTCAAAAAAAAATAAAAAAAAACATGTGTAAAATTTTTGGAGGTATTGCACGGAGTAGAAAATCCTATTTTTTTTGTTTTTTTTCCAATATATTTATAATAATTTTAGTTTTTTTTAATTTTTTATATTTTTCGATTAGATAAAATTTTATTTTCTATACAATTATATAAATATTGATATTTTTTTGTTTAAATTTATTTTTAAAAATATATAATTTTGATATAAATATAAATATACAAATACCTTTTTTTGTTAAATTGGAGGAAAAAGATGATGACATGGATATGTAAGAAAAATTTTTGTATAGTTTCTTTGATGCAAATGTCCTTACCACACAATAGTAAATTCTATATATAACTACAAGTTTTTTTTTTCAATGTTGTTATTAATTTTTCTAATTAGGTAATACAGCAATATTAATTAAATATTTATATTAACTACACATTGAAATATTTAATCTTGACCTTCCATTTTAATCTAATTATTTTAATTAAATAAATAATTTAGTTAATTAAAAGTGGTGATTAAATTTAGCACGTTAGCCGAAGCTATGACTTAAAGGTCAAGGGGCTGAGAGCTTCGTCATTAAACTACATTCTCGTTCCATGTAACAAATTAACATTGTTATTAATGGATATGAAGAAACTTATTATTTAATCTTTTCATTTAATTTCAATTCGTAAAATATTTTTATATATTGTTGATTCATTTATTATATTTTTATTGTATTAATATAAATTAAGTAGAGTTTATTTCTAATTATATGCTAATAGATGTATTGTCAACCCACTCCTAATTGAATTTGGGCTCAAGAAAACTAATAGATGGTTGGTGGGCTCATGGCAGAACTATTTTAAATTTAAATTTATTTGAAATGAAAATAATCCAATTGATTATTTGTTCGTGGATTCTTTTTAATCCAAAATTTATTATTTAATTTTTTTTTTTCCTAAAAAATGTTAACTCTAATTTTTTTTATAGTATTATATTTAAATTAGTTTTATATTCAAAATATTATACATCAATGGTTTATTCACTCAATTTATTTTTGAGTGGTATAATTCCAGATAAATATTATTAAAAATATAATAAATACATATTAACACAATATATACGTTGCAAATCAAATGGATCATTTGAAATTTCGTAGTAAATTAAAAAATAATACTATTTTATTAGTTAGTAAAAATATGTAAATATTTTTGGCATTTTTGCCTTTTAATTTTATTTATAAGTAATTGTGTGTGTAATTGTGTGTTTGAAATTTAAGTAATAATTAATTATATTTTGGTAAAAATGTATAATTATTTTTTCTAAAATAAATTTGAAAGAGGACATATGAATATGATAACAAAATTATTTTGAATCGAAACGAAGGAGGTATAACATGCATATTGAGTTAAAAATATATATATATTATTTTTATATTATTAGCGTTATTTTTCATATCTAACATTAAAAAAAATTAAAAAAAAAAAAAAAAACTCATCTATCTATTAAATTAAATAGACTATAAACCTTAACTTAATTAAAGTATTGAAATTTTATTTTTAGGCCTGAGATAAGTTCATCGAAGTTTTTACAATATATATATGTATATCAATTGTTTTCACTAATTAAGTGTTAAAGTAATTAAAGGAAAAATTGCAAAAAAAAAATATTATTCATATATACTTAATTATTATTCTTATTTTTTAATTATCACTATAGCAAAATATATATTGCACATATTACTTGATGGCAGCATGATTTTAGCTGTGAAATTCATGCGCAATCAATATACTGAAATAACAAAATTGTGACACTTTATAAAATATATTTTGTTGTAAGTATCAATTAAAATATAAAAATAATAATTAAACATATGTATAAAATGTTTTTTTTTTTGTAAGTTTTTTGAATGAATTTAGTTGTTACTGTGTGGTGTGTCCACTTGAAGGAGGAGCCCCGCCAGCATTAATATTGCATTTACATTCCCAACTGTCTTAGCTACTTTTCTTTCTTTTGATAAGTTTGGGAAAATTTTGATTTGAAATTGGTATTAAAATAATGTATAATACTTCCTCCGTCCCATAACAAAGTATCCATTTTTCCATTTTAGTTCGTATCCATTTCCTTTTTTAGTAACTGTACTATCTACCTAATATTACAGATACTCTTACAACTTACGATATATTACACAAATATCATTACCTTTATATCACACATACTAATAAGGTTATTTTAGTCATTTCTACTTTATTCCTACTATATCACAATATAATAATAATATTACTAAAACTACGTGCAAAAAGCAAATGAATATTTAATTTCGAGACGGAAGGAGTATAATATTTTGTGAAAGAAAAAAGTATATATTTTTTTTAAACACAGAGTCTAACTAATAGAAACATGTGGGTTTAGTGTAAAGAAACACACCCTTAGTCTCCCCAGCACGAGGTTGAATGCTTTCGAGCTTTGAATTGATTTTAAATTAATGAAAATAAATAAATAAATAAATACGAATTATATTTATATTTGTCATTTCTTTACATTCATATTTTATACTCCCTTCGTCTCAATGGATTTTGTTGTAGATTCAGAAATAATAGCAGTATTTTATTGGTTAGTGGAAGTATGTAAAAATTTTTGATATTTTTGTCCTTTGACTTTTGTACAAAGTAATTGTATGTGTAATAGTATGTTTGTAATTTAGGTAAAAATTAAAGGATATTTTGGTATTAGTATATGATTATTTTTTCTAAAATAGAATATGGATACTTTGAAAAACGGACGAAAATAATAAACATAGTATTTTAAATTGGACGGAGGGAGTATTATTTTATTTTTAAAAAGAAAATATATGTATATATTGTAATTTTATTTTAATTTATACTTTCTTAAATTTAATTAGACTAATTAATTATTTTAGTTTTAATTTATAATTATTTTTATCATACGGTAATTACTTTCATTAATATATATATTTTAAATTTTTTACTGATAATATATTTTTTAAATTTTTGTGTCTATTATATATATATAAAGGAAACAATTGATGTTAAAACAACATATGCTATGCATATATATCATTACGATATAGCATTGTTTATGCACTGTGGACTTTTGTCGATTTATAGTATATTTGTTTTATATTAATATAAATAAATTATCGATTGTCTAACTATTATGTAATGTACGATAATATTTTGAAGTGGTGTGGATATATTAATTCATACTTAGCATAATAATTGCAATCTTAATATAATATGAATAAATAAATACTAAATATAATATTTTAGTTAAATATAAAGTTTTAATTAGTATTTTAAAGTAAATTTTTAATAAAAATAATACAAACTTAAGTTTAAAAAAATATAAGTAAATAAGAAAGTGCAATTACTTAGAGGGAACATATATTGTTGGTGCTGGCCAGCCATATGAAATGTTTATCCAATCTATTCGTCTATATTAAAATTTTAAAATTGATTGTTCGTATAACATCAAGATGTAGCTTGAAAGAATGTGAATGTGTTTTTGATGCTTTACAAGATCGACTTGCTATTATTTTATGCTTATCTCTCACTTAGGATATTGTTATGAACCGTAAAATCGTGAATGCATATCATGATTATAAAATTATCATTGAAAATAAAATAGAAACATATATTATTACAATATTTCTCAATTTGAACGAGTAAAGATAGATAATATTAATACATCGACCCAATTATAGTCTATAGATTAACATATTGGAGAGATTGAATTCTAAGAATATAACGCGGCTTCAAGATAGAGAAATTCATCAACAACTTAAAATAAATTTAGTTTAGGAAGATAAAAGTTTGGTTCGGTGAATATTTTTATTTTTATTTTTATTTTAAATAGTTCAATTGTCCTAGCAATTTACTTGTTCTTTTTTAGAATTATCGCTAAAGTTAATAAAAAGTTATGATTAAAAAAATATATATATGTGATGATGTTAAAATAAAGATAAATAAATGTTGTATGAATGATTTTTTTTATTATAAAATAAAAAATAAATAAAAAGAGAGATAAGGAAGTGACCATTTATCTTATAAATAGGAGAGTCCCAAAATCAATTTTAATGTGAGATAATATTCATAAAAATTAAATCAATATCTCCACTAGTATAATTAATTTTATACAAATTTTTTTTTTTTATTTATAAAATAATACTACTATCGTCCACTCCACTTAATAAGTTTATATTTACTTTTTGCATACTAATATTAAATATTAATTATTACATCAAATATAGTCCAAATAAAAAAAATAATCTTTTTTATTAGTAAATATTGATATATTATATTTTGAAAAAAAAAAAAACTAATGCAGTTTCTTATTAAAAAAATAATCGAACACTTTGATGTTTTTATTATTATTTTTTTATTTTAAATATTTTTTACAGATTATATATATATTGTTTTTAAAAAAATAAAAAATTAATAAAATAAGGTAAAAGTGGGATTGAGATGGGAAGGGTGGACTGCAGCCCACCCTTGCCCCTTAATAGGTCCGCCACTGGTGTGGGGAGTGAACTCGTGACCGGTAAAGTCACTGCAAGTTATCAATCAATACATGTAAATTTTGTCTAATCCTTCATAATTATGGATCAAGAATTAAGAATTAACATATATATATATATACGGCTATGTTATTTCTTTTAAATTTTTTTAAATTTTATTATTTACATTTTGGATTTTTTAAAAAAATAAATATTTTTTTTACAAAATATTTTATCCAATATTATTTTAATGTCAAATTCAGATCAATTTTTTTCAAATTCGCCCAAAAGAAGCATTCATTAATGATGGATGGATGATGTGAGTAAGAAATTTGAAGGAGTCAAGAAATGTGTCCCACTACTTGTATTGTCCCCTCTCCTCCATCTTCATTTCCTTAAGTTCAATTTATTTTAGTCCTACAAATATACATTTTTATTTGTCCTCTTTTCTCCAAGAAACAATAAATTATAATAACATGAAATGGGATGGGAAGGGATGACATGTGGTACGAGAAGAATTTGTAATAACAAGATCATTGATTCAAACTCCTAAAAATGTTACATTCCTATACTATCTAAATCGAAACTTAAATAAAAATTTTATTTACTCAAATCAAACTATTTAATTTGTTACCATTGAAACTCTTTTTATATGATTAACATAATAAGATAAAAATATAGTTAATTATTTTCTATTTGAAAAGTATTACAAAATATGTAAAACAAAGTAAAATAAAAAATATTACAGAATATTCGAGATTGAAGAGTACTAAATATCATTTGAATGAAAATTTCAAATCTCCAAATTCAATCTAACTTAAGAGAAATGCAACCCTAAACTCTTAATCTTCTTAAACCCATAAGACAAGTAAGTGTAAGTAATTGGTGAATTTAATTAATTATTTAGGTGGGAAATAGTATATCATTTGACCAATTTGCATACTCTTTCTTTCGAACACTCCATTTTGTATATAGCCTTGTAAAGATATAGAAGCATATATACTATATAATACTATTTTCAACTCAGCACACGTTATATGTACAAACATCATATATTTTTATTACATACGTCACATGTTGTGTATAATAAAACTATGTGCTATTTTTTTATAATAACATGTGTTGTAGTTATATTATATTAGCATATACAATTTAATGTCTGTAATAATATTGTGTGTTGTCGGACAGCACACGATATGCTGTTAAGATTATAATATGTTCTTTGTTCATGTGATGTATTTGTATTACATTAATATATATATAGTGTGTTGTACGTAGGAATACTATATGTTGTTCAGCACAGTGTTGAATTCAAAATTCAGCACTGTAACCACCGTCATAATTTAAATATTGTATTTACTGTGCATGCATATATATATAGCGTGTTATGTATTATACTCCCTCCGTCTGTCTCAAATGATCATATTTACATCTTGCGTCATTATAGTTAACATTAAAAATATTTTGTATAATTTTTTTTTTTTACAAATGTTATTCTATTACTATTATAAGACACAAAGTATTTTTGCAATTTTTTCTTAATTTGTACTGAGTTTTGATATAATAATTAATAATCAAATATCAACACATAAAAAGTAAACGAGACCCTTAGAGCCGGACGGAGATAGTATTATTACGTGTTATTACAATAGTATATAGCACTGATTTGAACCAATTAACATGAACCTTCCTCCCTACTTTCATATATTGAATTGCAAATAATAATGAACTGATCTGATCAGATCAGATCAGAGCATGCATTTAAGTGTACATACCCACGCACACCCACCCACCCAACCCCATTCCTCAAAGAAAGAAACTGTCTTCCCTTTGTTCCACCATCTTAGACCTCTTCCTTTCCTCCATTTATATATATACACATGATCCATATCTCTCTCTCTCTATATATATATATATGCTCAAAATCAAAACTACTTAATTAATTCAGCTGAAGAATTAATAATTAATCAGAATGGGTGGATTTGAAGAAGAAGAAGAAGTAGTAGAACATCTGTCGTCTCTGCTGCACACTCCGACTTGGGCTGTTGCTACTGTCTGCTTCGTCTTCATCTTCCTCGGAATTTTCATCGACCATTTGATTCATCTCGTCGGACATGTATGTATATCTATGTCTTCTCTATCATTAATCATTCTTTTATTTTATCAATTCTTTCTTCCCCAAATTCATCATCATATATATTATAAGATTGAATGATTGATTTTTCTATTAATTGATCAGTGGCTCAAGAAACATAAGAAGGCAGCTCTCTACGATGCAATAGAGAAGCTCAAATCAGGTTCATTGTTTATTTATTGATTGATTTACTATGATCATTTTCTTGAAATTAATTAGTTTATAGTGTTTCTTTTTAGTCTGATTGAGTTTGGAGTTTTAGATTTTTAAGTTGATTTTTTCGAGAAATATATTTGTTCATCCAACACTTTTTTGTTGATACAATCTTGATGAATATTACTAAAATTCCCTTAACCATCTATCTATTTTTTTATTTTGGTCCGTCTCATAACAAAGTATCTATTTTTTTTAGTAATTGTACTATCTACCTAACATTACAAATACTTTTCCACTTTACAATATATTACACAAATGTCATTACCTTTGTATCAAATAATACTAATAAGGTTAGTTTAATCTTTTTATTTTTATTTCTACTACGTCCCAATAAGATACTAATATTCCTAAAACTCCATGCAAAAAATAAATTGATAGATAAATATAAGACGGCAATATATATAACATATTTTCTATCTAAAAAAGGAGTGTAGAATGTGAAGGTTTCTTGAGAACTTTATTAAACAAAAGTTTGCAATTTGATTTTTTCCTTCCATTTTCTTTTAGCTATGCAATTTCTCTGTCTCTTAGAAAAATTACAGTCTATAGCTAAATTTTCATGTAAATATCATATTCAATAATTATTTCACCTCACGAAAAAATACCAAATGAGCATGCTATTTAATTTAATTTTTTTCCACTTTTTTTCCGGGCTCGGCACGGCGCTGTAGTGTTGATGCTCTTAGGTTTCATGTCACTAATATTATCGATTACACAAAGCTCCATATTGAAAATATGCATACCGGATAATGTTGCCGACTCCATGCTTCCATGCCGACAAACTTCTCCAACTAAAACTATACAAGGTTTAGAGCATATTAGGACATTGAATTCTCAAACTTCATTAATCCCTACAAAGGAGGACATCGAGATTTCAAGGCATTTCTCCGAAGCAACTTCTAACTACGAGCATAATTGCTCCGAGGTATTTTGTAATTTGCTTTGCAAATTTTTCTTACATCTTCTCGATCTTTTTCTCCTTTTTTTCCTTCTTCGAGAAATCCTTTATTAAAGCACAAGTTAATTAATACATACTTTTAATTAAATTTATATCTTCCATTGGAATGTCGGATAGGGAAAGACTCCAATGATGTCGCCAAACGGCATAAACCAGCTCAATATTTTCATATTTGTGCTCGCAATCATGCAAATTGTCTCAAGTGTCGCAACCATGGCCTTAGGAAGGGCTAAGGTATGTAAATTATATAGGTAGATCGCAAATATAGGGTTTGTTTTTGTATTGTTTCAAAAAAATTCCTTACTATGCCACGCTAATTTATAGGAGTATTTCCGGTGTGTTTGTTTTGGGGTTTGAAATTTTTGTTGGAATTTAAATAGTAAAGATTTTGAATTAGAATAGTTGTATGACCTTGTAATATAAATAGGAGTTGATATAATGTTTTGAATGTAAAATTAATTTTTAGTATAATATAGTAAACGAAAAATAAGTATTTGATTTGATATTTTCGGAGAAATTTTTTTTTTTCTTAATAGTAAAATTTTGGAGAAATTTGATAAAAGAGCGCACCCATATATTTCTCAAAATGAAATTTACTTGTATCCCGCTCTCGAAAATAAGTAGATAGATACATATATTTGCTACATTTTGAAATAGTTGCTACATTTTGCGTTTTCAAGTAGTAGTTTAATTATATTTTTTAAAATATTTCTATTGTTTTTGCACTGCAAATAATCAAACATTTATCGATCTTTATACACAGATGAAGAGATGGAAAACGTGGGAGAAGGAGACTCATTCACTTGAATATGCAATAGCTAATGGTATGATATACATTTACACATGTAGTGTTGTAAGAAAGTATTAATTATTTCGTAAACAATAAGGATATATATGTTGTTTCTTTCTTTCTTTTTCTTTTAATGTACTATACTAATGTAAATGCAATATGGTATTTTGATCAAAAAATATGTTTGTACAGATCCTGAAAGATTTCGAATCACACGAGAAACAACATTTGGACGAAGACACGCAACCTCAGAAAATACAAATCCAACGCTAATGTGGATAGTATGCTATCTTTCCCTTGTCAAAAATCATTTTATTACATATGTTTCATATCTTATTTTCATCGCGATAATATGTGTTGCAGAAATGCTTTCTTCGTCAGTTTTTTAACTCAGTGGCCAAAATCGACTACCTCACTTTGCGACATGGCTTCGTTTCGGTTCGTATGTTTTCCCTTACTAGAGATAATCCTTAGTGTTTAGAATAAATAATCCTCGTCGTAAATTTTCTTGTTTTGTGAATGTGTAAGAAAAATATATAATACTCACTTTGTCTCGTTACTTTTGCTAGTTTTAGTTTTGGCGCAATTGTTTTAGGTGGTATAACTTTGATAATTTTTTACTACTTTATACTTACTTTTTATATAAAATAATTTTATAGATTTTATTTAAAAGAGAACGCTTTAAATTCGAATATTCAATTTGTGGCTTACCTTGTTCGTTTTCAGGCTCATTTTTCTTCAAATAATATCTTCAACTTTCAAAAATATATACAACGATCCTTGGAGCATGACTTCAAAGAAGTTATTGGCATAAGGTATGCTTAATTTCTTACGATCTTTACAAAAGTAGTACTTAGATTAATAGAGAAGATATATGTGATTAAAACACTTTCTAGTAAAAGTGAAGTGTAATTTCTCAATAAAATTTTTGTTCTTTTAATTTAATTGAACTCAAATTTTACCTACTATACATTATTATCATGGGATCAGGGGCGAGCTATAGCAGGAGAAGGGTGAGCAGCTGTTCAGGTCCCTCGTTAATAGAAAACTCATATTTTAAAATGTTATCCAGTATTCTTATTAAAATTTACAATTAAATTTTCAACTTTTTTATTTATATTTTTTCTTTCCCTTAATTATTCAGTTTAATTTTAAAATTAAATTTTAAACTCTAATCATATATTTATCTTCTTCTGGACTATACATCACCCTATCTTTCTAAATTTAATACTTGTCTACACTTCTTTACCTCACGTCCTGTCGCAGTGCTTTCATCCACTCAGACCAAACCAGCCTCACATTCTCTCTTCTCTCTCTTTCATCCTCTCTCAGTCATTCTCACTTTTCGAACTTCTTGACAGTCCGTTTTTCATCGTTTTTTCTCAAATCAACACTGCTCAAACCTTCACATTCAACATCTTGTCCAATCGACGTCAATCAGTGATATTATTTTGAATTAGAGCCTATAATTTATTTTTGCGCAGAGCCCCACTGCCCTACATGGGATGGTTAGGGTGTAGATTAGCTTTGATCAGCATATGATAATAGTATACCAAGTACATTATTAGAATTAAATCAACATATGTTATATAGATTATTACCATATATTTACACTGTATTAATATGTGATATCTGTTGAGATCATTATGTGTGGATTATTACCATGTGATGTTAGTATTTATGTTATGCTAAAATTTAATAATTTGATAAGATCAATTGTAGCATATGTTGTGTGTACTATTGTTATATGTTAGCTAGGCCTAATCGATACGCGCCTACTACCATTAACCATTGTCTATAATAACCATTCTTAATTATGTTTTGATGTGTTCTAACAATCATGTGTTGTTTTATGGACAGCCCTATCATGTGGTTGGTAGTTGTTATTTTCTTAGTCCTTGATGTGCATGGTAAGTCACTCTCATTGTCTTAATTTAGTTTGTCAAAACAACTATTAATTATATATATATATATATATATATCAAATCTAAAATTATTGCTTGATGACAAACAGGGTGGAATGCCTACTTATGGATTTCATTTTTGCCACTTATTGTAAGTATCAATAGTAACTAAATTACATCATTATTAACACATTAAAGTATATATAATACATTATTCTCCTGTTTTATATTTGATAAAAAATTTGGAAAAATTTGATTTAGATTTGATACTAAAATAATATCGGATGAAATTTAGGAGATTTGTGTTAAAAAAAAAAACACATCCTAGGTTTTATTTTCCGCATAAAATCTCATTATATTAACATGAAATTTGTATATAAATATTGTACCTAAAAGTAATGACAACTAAAATTACTCGAATATTAGAAAATGAACTTGATTGTAGAAATAAGCGGTCGACATCATCTATATATTTTTATTAATAGAAGATTACATTAAGAATTTTCTAATAATTACTTTTATACAATATAAGGTCATATAACAGTCATTTAATTCTCAGTTGTCAGTTATATATTTTTTTCTGTATATTATGAAACATTACATGCTAATTCGGGAGATTTTATGCAATGAATATAATATATGATATTTTGTGCAATATTCATCAATGTATTAAACAATGTGAAAATAGTCTTTATTTTATAAAATTTTCCATTCTAACTTTTTATATTGAATATATATACATCTATATATATATATATAGGTAGTTTTGTTCATTGGAACTAAACTCGGAGTAATAGTGACAAAAATGGCGATCCATCTGACAAATCAAAACACTGTAATAAGAGGAACTCCTTTGGTGCAACCAAATAACAACCTATTTTGGTTCGAGAATCCGCGATTGGTCTTAATTATGTTGCATTTCGCTCTATTCATGGTGCGTTGATTTTAATTTATCCGTAAATACACACGATTTCATGTACCCATTGACTGAAATTTGTGTTCCGATGTTTGGACAACAGAACTCATTTGAATTTGCCTTCTTCGTATGGGTCACGGTACGTAATTTTTTTAAAAAAAAAAAAAATCCTTCTTCATACAATATGCAAATTTTTAACAATTGGAATGAATTTTTTTTTTTTTTTTTTTTCGAAATGTCATATGTTATTGCAGTGGCAATTTGGACTTGAGTCATGCTACCATGAATATGTTGAGGTCATTGTTGTGAGAGTAGTTCTAGCGTAAGTCTGTACCTCTGTTATTTATTTATTTATTTATTTAGTTATTTATTATTATTATTATTATTATTATTATTATTATTAATAGAAGTAAAATGGTCGATAAATTGCAGGGTCTTAGTTCAAATAATTTGCAGCTACGTAACTCTTCCGTTATATGCATTGGTTACTCAGGTTATTCATCTCCCTCCCTCTCTCTTATATTTTACTCCGTCCGTCATTTAAATCTATTCTCACTTTCCTCTTCTTTTTTTTCTTTTTTTTTTTCATTCAAATTTATTCACGTTTCTTTTTTTAGTAGAAAAATACTATTTTTTCTTACCAGTAAAAATTTCTATTCTTACATATTTTTTTTAAGATTCATGTTCGGTCAAATGAGCACACAATTGGATGACGAAAGAAGTATTTTATATGCTAAAAACTTAATTATAAATAGATTATATGTATAAAAGATATAATTAACAATTACAACATGATTCTTGCCTTAGGGATACGAAATCACAAGTTGAAAATTTTTATACATATTTTTCTTATCATGATAGTGAATATAATATAATAAAACTTACATAAAGTATTTTATATTTTTAACATACATATATTATACGTCTTTCATTAAAATATAAAACACCTATATTGTAGGTCTCCCATTACTTGAAAAATGAAATAACAACCATGAAAATAGAACATACTGTATATATTACTTTCTCCGTCTCAACATAACAGTCGTATTTACTATTTTTGTTCGTCTCAAAACAATAGTCTTATTTTTATAAATAATCATATCACTGTAAAATTACCATTACTTTCTTATTATTATTACACAATTGCCACTACTTTTTACACTAATGCTCTCACAAGGGCAAAAAATTCTTTTACCCGTACTTTTCACCCCTACCAATATAATATCAATATTCCTTAAATCTCGTGTCAAAAACAACTCAAACTATAGTTTTGGGACGGAGAGAGTATATAGATTGTTAGTATGTATTGATTTGATTGTTCTAATTTGTATGTATTATGTGTTAAATATGCATATTGTATGCTAAGACAAATTATAATATATGTTAGTTCATGTGTTCTATTGCATTATATTAATATATACCTCATCTGTCTCAAATTGATGGGTCATTTGAGATTTTTATAGTAAATTAAGAAATAATATTAATATTTTATTAGTGAGTAGAAGTGAGAGTTTTTGACATATTTCTCATTGGACTTTATATAAATAAAAAAAAAATTATATGTGTAATTTAAGTAAAAATTATATTAGTATATAATTTTTTTTTTTTAAATAAAGAAGAAATGGAACATATACAAATGATAAAAATGATATTTTACTTTAAATTGGGACTGATAAAGCATCTTGTACTATTGGTTTATACCTTATGTGTTGTATATATTTTGTGCGTAGTCACTACTATATTGACTAATCGCAGTCAGTACAGTAACCGTCAACTTTAAAATAAAAAGACGAGAAAAATATATAATTTCTAAACAATAAATTACATTTACAGATGGGCTCTCAGTACAAAAGCGAAATACTCGTCGCGCATACAATTCAAGGGACACAGAGGAGGAAGGAAAAAGGGAAGATCGAGTCATCCATTCCGGAATCTAGCATTCAAAACCATTCTTCAGTAACAAACAACAACGATGAAACTTCTTCGCTTGATGAGTCATGTTATGAGCGAAGACAAGATACGGCGACAAGTTTTGTTTCTCTACACGGATCTGAGATCGTAGAAGAATTCGAAACTATCTATCAATGTCAAAGAGTAGATACTAATAGAAGGAATAGCCACAATGAAATTCAGCTTAGTTGAAGAATGTAAAGGTACTATAGAACCTCCATTATCAAACCCCCGATACCTCAGCTCACCTGCCACGTATGGTTCGCCTAGTGTAACTTTTTCAGATTCGGCCGAGAATTTACCTAATGCGCACTTTCAGGTAGCGACTGTGGGTTCCAACGTCGTCCAAAAAAAAAATATAGTTTGTATAATATATATATATTATATAAATTCGAACCCATGATCTTACTGACGATGCATAGATAACTTTCGTACAGTTTGCCTATATATCTTATTTTCATTCTTGTGAACATATTTCATTTAACATCAATAGTATTTAAATCTTTAAAAGACCTCTTGAAAGTCCAAATCCCATCTTGCTTGTCTCTTTACCTTTTTTTTTTTTTTTTTTTTTTTATCTCTACCCACATCCTCAATTTTACATATCATACATATCTTTAGCATATGAAAATTAAATACAATTAGAGATGTTAAATGAATTAAAATGTTCGTGAATTTGACTCGATTCGATTTAAGCTCGTTTGCCAATACAAACTTGCCGAGCCAAACAACATAAGTAGATTCATTTTGTTAACGAAAAAAGCTCGAACTTTATTCACGAACACTCTTTATAAAATAAATATATGAAATCATTAATAAATAAATAAATATAATGTATGTATGAATTAAAAAAATAAAATATTATATCTATTCAAGCAAACTCGAGCGAGTCCAAACGAGTTTACGAACACAAACACCAACTCTCGACCAATAAAATTACTAAACGAACTGCACTCGAACAATACGGACGAACTCCAATACTTAATTGACGAATGCGAGTCTTATTCATGAACGTTAACAAGCGAACACAAATACTTAAAATTTTATTCGGTTCAATAGGAGTGTGTATCGAAATTAATTTGAATTATGATGCTTTACATTTATTAATTTATTTAAAATGTTATAGTAATGTAATTAAATATAAATAATATATTTATATAACATTACAATGTATCTTTTCAAAATAAAACTACTCCAATGCAGAATTATTAGTATGTCAAATAAAAATAATACTACTTGAGAGTCTTTAATTATGATAAACAGATACTATAATTTTTTTATTTTTTTTTTGACGTTTGATAAAAAAAAAAAAATAAAAAAACTAAAAAATAAAGTATATGTATATAATATTAAATATAATAATTATTTGGATTCAACGTCGGTAATTATTAATTTTGAAAATATTGAATCTAAAATATTGTCTAAATTAGCAAATTCTAATTTTCAAATTTATCAAATTCAAAAGAGCCTTTCATGTATCATAAACTTCCTCCTGCTTACAATTATGTGCTCAAAGATTTGAACACAAAATTTTAATAAAAATAAATAATAATTATTACTTTTCTATCTCTTAAGAATAAAAGAATAAAAAAAATAATATACTTTTTAATTAAAACCGAAAAAAAAAAAACATTCTTTTTATGACAATCCAAAAAAAAAATAAACATATATCTGAATGACGAAGAAAATAGCACATATATATATATATATATATATATATAATTACTCTCAAGAAAGATGTTTCAACACCAACCAACCAACCAACCATTCTATATAGCCCCTTCTTCCTTCACAAACTTTAAAACAAAGAAAGTATATATCTTTTTTCTGCGTTTATCAGTTTTGAATTAAGAATTCGCTACCAATAATACTTTTTTTCTATATCTGAACTTTCAAAAAAATAAAAATAAAAAAGAATGCCCCACCAGTTTGGAAAGGCAAAAAACACCTCATGACACATACCCTGACCAGCTCTCCAAAAAACAATAATGATACATCGAAATTGAGAGTATATACTATAATCAATCATAATTTACCCGGAGATCGATTGGATGCTTCTATCTCTCTATAGCTTGCTTCCATTATTTGTATACTGCATGCCCAAACAGCTTCACTCAGTGTCTGAATCAATAGACAAGTATAATTTTTGTTTTACTGGCCGCCCTTTGCGAGCAAATGAAAATGGACTATCTGATGATGATCTTTCCTTACGTATCTTACCAGACCTATTCTCCTTCGTTCCCTGCCGAGACAACGATGCTGCAAAATGGAAACCAAACTCTTTTCCTTTTAATTACATATACAAGAAACACGGCAAATATATATATATATATATCTATCTATCTATCTGATCGTGTCAAAGAGGCCAAAATAAAAATGGAAGAATCTTGCACATAAATAGATTGAATTAGCAACCTGTAAGATCATCATCGAATGAGCCCAACGCACCACCATCCCTCGATTGCAAGTGCTGTCTTGAGTCCAACCCGTTCGGTGCCATAGTTTCACCTTGACCGGATCCAACACCGTCGCCAAGCCTGAGAGAAATCCAATCGTCTCTACCACCAATGCCATTCGAGACTACTTCCGGATGGTCTCTCGTATTAGATTGGGCGGCTGAGGCGTCGAATGGTCTGGTGGGAAGAAATATTTTAAGTGCAGGATCTTGCCCATTAAAGGCCAGTGGGTTGTCTACCAAGCCATCATTCATATCGGAATGAGATTGTTGAGCAGGAGGCTCAGGAACAAGTGCTGCTGACCCCATAGCCATCTCTGCAGTCATTGTGTAGCCATTGATGGATGATGAGTTTAGAGGGCCATGCTGCATGTCAACAAGGGCATCGGCAACATCCACATCTGAACCGAATAGCTGAAAACTCGGACCTCCCTGGCTACCAGATGGCAATGACCACATGTTAATCCCGAGGTCATCATCGTTGGGATTGTAAAGATCAAGGCATGAATTTCCAGCATTACCAAGACCAGGATTTTCATAGAAAGAATCAGGAAGGCCATGCCGTGAATCTGGATGTGGGACTGCAGCATCGATTCCACTGTTCTTGTAAACAGCTCCAGAGGGCAATAGGGGTGGTTCGATTTCATCTTCTGAATCGCTGAGGACAATCAATTCAGCATTCCCAGTCGGAGCTTGTGCTGTCCTGTCACTAAATCCATGAGTAGTATCAATATTCATGGATAACGACTCGTACTCAACACCATTAACTGCAGAATAATCGAGATTCCCTCCCCCATCCTGGTTAACACTGCCATCCTCCCAATCTCTGCCACTCCCGGTGGCACTGCTGCTCATAGGAATTATATGGCCATTATTCTGATCAAATCTATTTGCAGAAGGAATACCCTGAAGCCCATAAGGTTTGTTAATTTCCCAGAAACCATCTTGGTTCTTTTTCATTCCTAATCTAAGACCAGCATGATTATCAGAACCCAATTCCTGCTTAACAGGTTGAAGGTCTATTTTCGGTTTTGATTCTGCTTCCACCTGAGGACAGATGGTTCCATCAGGTAGATGCCACAGCCCAAGCTCCCCGAGACTCTTGCGATCGCCCTCTGCCTTGGCACGCCAGGAGCCATCAGGCTTCACATCAATCTCTGTCACATCTTCCTCACAATGTTGAAACTGTAATTGAGGTATCATAACGAATGATGAATATCTAGGAAAAAGAAACAACTTGACCACAAAATATGGTTCCGACTATACCTTAGATATGATTCGATTAAAATAAGGATCTATGATGATTTTCTCCAATGAATAGTTCGTCAAACAAATCGGGCATTGCCACTGCATCCGCAAATTTAAATGAAAACCATAAATAGAGAAGTTAGGTGAGATAAAAGGATAATAAAAGTTTATTTCAACAAGAAAAGCAATTCTGCCCAAAATAAAATAAAAATAAATTTTAAATTTAAATTTAAGCAAATAGAGAGAAGAAGTAAAGCAAGATATAAGCAAGCACACATTTATGCAGGTCAGAAGTATGAACACTAAAAAATTAAAGCAAAATATGACAAACAGATGATCTCATAAACACTTGCCTTTCTAGATCGTTGGTTCATTTCAACAAAAACCTCAAGATCAAAACAACCCATGTGTGCACAAGGGCTAAATCTTCCGGCCACCTTCATCCTTAAACCACTCATCTGAAGCACACAAGAAAGAGATACATGTATCAGTTTCAAGGGATGTACAACAATAAGCACTTGTAAGAAAGCTAATTATAGAATATTCTCATGTTAAAGAAACATTTTCTCTTAATCCATTTCAATTATCAAGATATACCAAAGAATGAAACCCAAAAACTTTCATATAGATGAACAAATAGCCATTTGTCCCAACAGAATAGCTCATCAACCTTAACCATTGTCCACAATATAGTAAAGTACATTTACAGCCAAAAATTTCTGTGATAATAATAGGCAATCGGTCATTAAAGCAAGTATAAAGCAGTTTCGGTAAACGTCAGAAGGAAGAGATACTAAAGATAGCGCGCATACCTTAACCAAAATTGTGACATTATAACAGACTTGGGTTAAATACAGATACAGCAGGCCCTTAAAAAGAGCCAGAAAATGGTCTTATACAAGATTACAGGCATTATACTTCGAAAAAACAAGTTCAAGTCACTGTTTACTCTAGTAAAAAGGATTGAAACTTCATAAACAATTGTCTATTACAAGCATACAAAAATGTTTCCCATAAAGTACATCATATCAGAACAAAAATCTATTGCATTTTGTGTAACTACACAATTATAAAAATATGCAAATGTCAAAACTCCTTACAGGGCAACGTAGAGACACCGAAATGCAGTCTGCAACAACTTCAATATCACTATCACTGTCAGCATTTTCTGTTGTATTTCCACCACCAACACATCTGCGAACACGAGCCAGTGCTTCCTCGAAACGTTCTCCTTCACCCTCTTTCGGAATCATGTTTAGAACCTAATAGAAAATATCCCCAAGTAAAACAATCTCTGTCAAACATGAGCAAAAGCAAAAAGTCTGAAACTTTCAAGAAATACAGATCACACAGTTAGGGCAGTAAAGTTCAATCATCCGATCCATTAAGATGTAAAAGCCAAGGGCAAAAATGACACAAGCCAACTGCAGCTATGCAAGCTGTCCATAATCTATAATAGAAAAATTGGAAAGGGGAAAGACAGCCCAAGATAATTATGGTCTAAAGCTCAAACATACACATATGGAGATAATTCCCCTCCCTAAAAATGATATATTGACAAGAAAAGGGAAATAGAAACGGTGGCTTGTAAAACTAGTTGCCGAAAGTATGATGAGTTTACTGGCAGTCAAACAGGAAAAATATATAAATTGACTGCAGCATATGGTTTGTTCACTTTGTGTTTTTGAATAGATGTCATTTATATGTTAGGTATTGGGAATTGTATTGGTAAAATAAAAAATAATATTGTGTTGAATTGTTTCTTTTTGACTAGATAATATATATTTATTATATATATTGTATTAATATGTACATATATTGTATTTTTTTGATCCACCCAAAAACACTAAGTAAACAAACCCATAGGATCTCAAGTAAAACAGGCATGGATTACTTGCACATTACATGAAAATGCATGAACAATAAGAAGAATATAATACACCAAAATATGAAGAAACAAATATGAAATTCCTGGAGAACAATAGACCTGGTGCAGACTGCGCTTCTTGACAAGTCTAACTCCCACACAGAATATGCGAGCATCTACTCCTGCCAAATATATCTTATTTATTCCATCTCTGGTGCATGGTGTAATCTGACAAAGAAACAAGTCCAATAAGAAGAAAAAATATCAATAATTAAGTGGTCACAACACCACTCAAATAGTACTTCTACTGATGACCCCCTTCTTCCCTTTCCCAAACAGTACATCAAAGTATACAAGAGAGGCATTAAGGGATGCAAAATAAATAAATAATACGAAATAAATATTGAAGATAAGAATAATTTTAATCTGGTGTTTTGATTTTCAGATGGGACAAGGATAAAATAAATTAATCGATATCAGATTGTTGATCGTGTATCTTACATGTCTATGCTCAGTGAATAGTGAACGCCAAAGAATAACAGAGCATTTATCCTTTTATTTCGATGTTGATTGAGAATATACTGGATATTAGGAATATATAGCTTACCCATGAAACAAGAGGTTTGTATGCACCAAAAACAAAATCAACAAAATATTTTATAACTACCATCTCTAATTAGAGATCAATATCACACTGACATGACCAGGCTCTCTTAGTTGGCAAAAAACTAAAAAGGTGTTTATTCAAGAAGTGACAACTCACAATAGGTCCATCATCTCGACCATGTGTCCCCAGCATCTGAGAACCAGGTCTGTTTATAGCCCTCACTGATACACCTGTTGGATTAGTATTATTAGTTATCTGGAAGTATAAAAGACTTCACAGACATCAAGTATAACAAAAGATACATTTCACATTAAAATCGTAAGGCATATCAACCAAATCCTTTTGACTAACATTTAACAAATATCTTCCAAAAATTCCTAAACAAGCTATGTTTCGACCTCACCAAGGAAAATTTAGGCTCTATTTATTTATGTTGTCAACTTTGTTTACATACTATTAATCAAAATTTCTCTCTAAAAATATTATATTCAAATCCTAAGTTTCATCTAAATTATTACATTAAAAACTCTTTCTCTATGCAAAACATTACATCCAACACCTATTTACATCGCATCAAAACCCTGTTGTCTATTAAACTTTTTACTATTCCCAAAATAACTCAAAACTCCAAAACCTTCCAAAACATCATATCAAAACACACCCTTAACACTTGCACAATAGTACTTTATTGCAGTAACTTTACAAACATTCATCTCCTTGTGACAACCAAGATGGAAAATAACAACAGGAAAAAACTAATAGTCAAGAGTGAAAGGTATCCACAAGTTATTAAACCAGGAAAAGTAATACTTCCTCCGTCCACCTTAAAGGTTTACATTTACTTTTTGCGTGTTGCTCTTTAAATATTAATTATTATATCAAAACATAGTATAAATTCAGTAAACAAGACAAAAATACTTCTATTAATGTCTTATAATACAAATATAATGATATTTGTATACAAACTTATACAAATACAATGATATTTTTAATGTTAAGTGCAATGACGCAAAAGGTAACTGTAAACTTTCAAAGTGGACGGAGGGAGTACCATTTATCTGTAGCTCTGTATATTGCGGCCACTGCATCCTAAACGTAACCTTGTCATTAAGAAGCATGCACCATGCCTGATAATAAATTCCATCGCCATCGTAAGTATCACAAGCAATCTGCATATTCTAAACATAGAGATGTATGTTGCTATACACGGCATCCTGACCAACCTGAACATCATATTCTTGCTTTGACAACAAGTCCCTATCCGCCCTTGTGAGTTGAAATGTTTTCTCAATGCTTTGATTAGGATTTGAACTAAGAAGGACAAAATAAAATGAGAATCAGATGCATATATATAGGACAAGCAGGAAGTATGCTGGAGTGTTAAAAGGAACACCACTTTGAGGGAAGAAAAGGTTTCTGACTAGAAGATATTTCTGGGAAAAAGGAACAATTCTATGAAAGTGAAAAAAATAAAAGATGTAATACTAATTTGAAAATGATCCATAACACTCACAACATTGCATCATTTTCACATTCTATTATAGTTATGGCTATCCACAAGTTTGGACCGTATTTGCCATGAACAGAATATTGTAAATTGAAAAAAATAAATAAAATTGAGATTGAAATTTTTTTAAATAAAATAAAGATCAGATAATTTACATGGTATGCGAATATATTGGAATAATTTGAAAAACTTTTGGATCAGTGGTTACAATTGTAAACAGCAATTAGCGAAAAAGTCACTAAAACTGCCAAAAAAAAATCAATGGCAAAAGGAAAAAAGGATAAGAAATATCCTAAATAATCAATGGCAAAAAAGTAAAAATCAACTGTTGCTTTCATAATCATAACAGTTGCAAGGAACTCTCGACAGATTGATATAAATGACCCCCTCTCCCCAAATATTCAGGCCCCACAACAAACTGGCTTGAACACAACAACGAGGGCAGATTGTCTTTTTGCTAAAAAAGGAACTGACAGTGTCTTTTTACAGTAAATATGGCTAATGTTCAAATTTATCATGTAAATAGCTCATAAAAATCCTAGTTGTCAATCTCGAATAGCGTTACATATCGGTCAACTTCTAAAATGCTATACCGGAATAGCAAATAGCAGGATGACCACTATTTACAAGTTTAAGAATATACGTATGAAAGTTATTGTATATACAAATTTACAATAAAAATAAATAAGAAAAATTTATAGACTAATCTTATAGTTATAATTCAAACCAATAAAATTGCAAAAGATATCTTATAGCTCATAGATAAGACAAAAACAATAAGATCACAACTAATTTGATAAATAGATAATCTAAGTTAATCAGATTCTAAATCTATTAATATTCTTAATATTCTTCTCCTTTTTCGTTATTTTCATTCATTTTTTCATTGTATTTTCGTCAAATTATATAATGTCCTTTTCCTTTCTATAGCTAGAAGTAGATATAATATAATGTAATATAATAGTATAAATATATTTACCAAATAAGAAATATAATATTATATTGTAATATTAAATTATCTAAATCTATTTATAACAAAAAGTATAATATATTAACACTATACAATGCTCCACACAGCTACAAGCCTCTACGCCATTATTGAGTAAAAGCAGAATGGCAGAGCAGTGATAGCGGCAGACTGTCGCTTCGCTACACTACACCACTATCAACGCGCTATTGACAACTATGATAAAAATAATTTATTACATCTTGACTCTGTGAGTTACATCGGTGCTACACTACTACTACCATATAGGCTTACCTGTCTGTAGGTACACTTGTGATGTTCAGCTTTACAGGTTGTAGAGGGTGTGCAACGGTGACCCAGAAGCTGCATTTAAAAATAAATAAATAAATAAACAGTATGAAATCATAGTTAAATCTCCGAAAAGTTTAGATGAAACCAACTGTAGTTGGGGTAAGAATGCAGAAACACCATATTTGCCTTTACCTATGTATCACATACGATGCATAAGAATTATCTAAGCAATTCATCCGTAAAAGGAAAAGACCCCTAAAAGGTTCTGCAATTATATATTCATAAACAGAGAATTAAAAATGCGCTGTTTCTTTAAAGTTGGATCTGGTCTCACACTATTTATTAAAATTTCATCCCCAAACCATCAAATCAAATACCTATTTCTTATTTAACATCACAACAAACATCTATTTATATCACATCAAATAGTCTTTTAATTCAAATATTTACTATTTTCAAACCTAAAACCCAAATCCAAACATTAAAGGAACACACCCTTTTCTTATATGAAACTCTATCCAAATAACAAATCAATAATGTAACATGGGAGCTCCAATATTAACAAACAATTATGTATTATTTTGGCAACCTTAATCCTACAAACTCAACCATCTTAAATTTGTCTTAACCAAAACAATGACCAGTCATATATGGAAGTTAAACACGATACATTATTCTGCTTGAGTTACTGTAAGTTACATGAAATTTTTCAAATAAATAGTTAAATGATATCAATTAGATCACATTCCATGTAGTTGTCTAGTAACACCAAGATTCACTAAATTCCTTGCATGATAGTGAATTGTAAAATTTTTCAGTTCTTGTCCTGAGCACACCTTAACTAAAAACTAATCAAGAATTCCCCTAGTATAAATCAATAAGATTACAGCAGCTCCATACTAAGCCTCAAAAGCACAATGAGTCGTACAAAGATGGTTTTAAAAGGTTAACATCAGACGTCAAAACAGAATTGATTAATTTCTCATGGTACAGATAAACAAACGCCTAATTAATTGACAAGCTTCTACAAGGAAAATAGTTAAGCAATTCATAGAAAAGAATTTGGGGAAACGACAAAGCTGAAGATGTGATGTAAAATCATGATAATAGTGCATATCAAGATACAGTGAGCAAATCTGCTTACGGATCAGCTCGATTTAGTCTACAAATTTCACAGAAGAAAATGTCTGGAGGATTAGGTAGAACGCTCTCCATGGGCTTCTCAGGAATTAATACACATGCCATATGCTGCCAGACATTGCATCTAGGATCCTCACACTGCACAAAGATGCAACTGTTATAAACACTGAAATCAAAATTATGCCACTATAAGATTCTAACTGCAGCATAGTACAGAGATATATATATATATATGAGTGTGTGTGTGTGTGTGTGTTTCTGTGTATGAAAAATGAGACACCAACCCAAGAATTACATGTTTACAGTGCTTGTACTAATGCCAATATGCAAAATGTATAATACCTTAATCATAGAGTCAGTTGCCAGAGAGCTTCCACAAAGGCAACGTATTTTTTCCATCTGATATGAATCTTCCTTATCATCTTTACGTTTGACATCTCTACTCTCGGAAACGGGCAGTGATGCAGTGTCTAAATTAAGAGGCCCATAAGCCTGCATTTTGCTGGAAAATGGAGAATGTATGTAAGATTATATACTAGAAATCAAATATATTCTGCCAATTCCACTTGTAAAATGCCACAAAGATGCAGTCATAACCCTCTCAGGTTTCACAATCCATTACTCCACTTGTCAGAACTTTTGCTTTTCAACTCACATAGTTTCTTTTCTCTCTAATGATTAACAGTTTCTTGCTTTCATTTTAGAATCAACAAGTTAGTAATTCTTTATGTTGGTTATTCATGTCAGAAGGATAAATTAAGAAAAATTGTGTCTTGGCAAAGTTCATGTACCGAGCCAAAAAGAACACCTGTAAGTTTCATTAACCAGCTTAATCACTTCATCCTTTCCAACAGCATTTTTCTTGGCCCATGTTCCTGAGACAATTGAGCGTGATGTTAGATAGTTCTGCACATAGATGCATTAAAACATATCAACCATAATGGGGACCACATGCTTTTAGATGGAATCATTCAGAGAATAGAAACTTCCAAAATAATCTTTTTGTTCTCTCTATTGCCTTTCTGCTATACATGAATATCAAACTTAAAAGGATGTCTTTTTTCACCCATGCGAAGGTGAACAAAGTGTTCTTTCATAGGGTTTGTTTAGTTATGCTTTGGAAGTGCTCCGTGTATTGGATTGTTAGAAATAGTAAAACTTTAAATGAAAATTTTGTGTTGGATGTGTGATGTTTTGAATAGAAAACAAATTTTTGATATAATATATTAAATGAAAATTAAGTGTGGGATGTGATGTTGAAGAGAACATATTTTTGATATAATATATTAAATGAAAAATAAGTGTGGGATGTGATGTTTTTTAGTTAAATTTTTATGAATGGTACGAAAACAAAGTTGAAAACATTCATAAACTGGTTATGGTCACTGTGGTTGTTGGTAAATGTGTTGGTTGAGTGGTGCAAAACAATCAAACACATCCTAAGGTACATTGGCCATACCTTGCTCATCAGAGAGAACAGACACTATCCGATCAACAAGGTCCTGTGCAAAGAAAACCAAACAAATCAAGCATCTTGTTTTAATATGCAACAATACTAAGGTCATGTAATTAAAATGATTCGACAGTTCACTTGATTCGGGTAATTGAAGAAGGACATCCAGTCCACATGAAATATAAATTGCAAATCAATCAAGCCACTAGCATGCTACATCATGGACCAGTGTAATGCCATATATGAACTGCATAATACATGTATTGAAGAACAGGTACTAAGTACTGCAAGCATAACCATTATAATAATAATGTGTCTTGGATCACCAAGGTGTAATTTAAATATTAAATAAATAACAGTCCACTTCAGACCAAAAGGCAATTGAACATTATAAGCTCTTATTCTAAACTTCTTAAACCAGCAAAAGAAACAAAGATGAAGGGGTACAAAGATTCACCAATGGCAACAGTATTCTTGGCATCTAACCTGCTTCTTTCCTTGCTTTGAAAGACCTAGTTGGGTAAGGACATGCTTGAGTTCCTTTATCCGAAAATATGCTAATTTGTCCTGCAAGGAATCAAGTACAGTTCAGAGATTCCCACAAAAAAAACAAAAAGCCAACTTGACATCTCATTCAAGTATAATAATTAGTTTGTATCCAAATAAGTGAAAAGCACGTCTATAAAGCACATATAGAATGTGCGTGTGTGTTTGTATTCCTGCAGTGTCATATAATAACAACCACAGTATATGATTTATTTATGTTTCAAACAAAGGACAAGAGGGATGAACAGTGAAAAATATCTGAAATCATAATTTTTTGACTTCTATGTTTATAAGGATCCAATAGGCACATAACTATATACCATTGAGCATCATCCGCAATGAGGCAAAAGTAAAAGCATGTATGTGTGAACACACAGAATCTGTCTCCACCGTTTCTTCACTGTCAAAGCAATGTGCAGACACTTCCATTAATGCTACATTTCATAGTTCAGAACTACAAATGCTCCATAGATACAATCATTTTCATTATTAGACTGCAAATCTGAACAATTTATTATCAAAGGACGGGCATCAAGACAAAAGTTCATTCAATTGATTTAGAAGATATATGTAACATGGCCATAATGCCAGAATAAAATCAATTAGTCATCACAGCCCCATTTTGGGGGTCCCAGGAAGAGTGAAATATACTTTCATGCGGCATCCAAATCAAGTAGATCTATCTGAGATTTCCAGCAGAAATAAAAGCAAAAAATAATTAGCAGAATTGCATCTTTCTGGGAGGAAGAGAGCCTCTATAAGGTACATTCTTTCTTTCTTTTTCTTTTTCTTTTTTTTTTTTTTTTTTTGTTTCTTTTTTGACCAATTGTCAATTACAGCACTCCACAAACATGAATTTAAAATCTTCTATTAAGTGAACCTAGATCCTCTAAAGCCACAAAACACCATTTCAAATAAAAATAAATTCTAAAAAGAATAAACACAGAGGTTACTTCATTTTCTTTACTGAAATAACATTTCTGAAGATATATGTCAAGTGAAATCACCCTGGCTTCTAACTCCTGTTTTCAGTTTCAAATATAATCAACACTTTCTCACATCAAACAAAGGAACGGCTTTATGAAACAAATTTATGCTCAAATTACTTTATGACCATAAGTTCAACCATTATCATAGCTGATAGCTCCTACAGTTTTCAGAAGGTGCAAACCACAGATTGTTTCTAGCATAAATGAATGAGAAAATTGATTGGATCGTTGAACTTCATAGGAAGGTAGCACAGGAACAATCGATATCTGGGGCTAAAATACTAGCTTGGTAAACAAACAAGACAACAAGAAATAAGGAGCACTTCGAGAGCAGAAGTAGAAAATTGTTTTGCCTTCAGAAAAAAGAAAGAAGACCAAAAATGAAAGATGAGAAGAGGGCATAGGGTTTCCATTTAGTTGTTCTACTTGTTTTATTTGGATTCCTGAATTAGACTACATTATCTTAACATGTAAATGGAAGTATTAGATCTCATCACAAGACTTAAAATTGAATTACAGTGTCAAACAGTTGTTTTTTGGAATTTGAAAAAAAGGAAGAAGAAGAAGAGCATTCATGGTTGAAAAGAATAAAAGACCCTAACAATAGCAATGCATTTGTTCCAATTGTTTAGTCAATGCTTGCATTCACCTATCAAATGGAAAAAGCTAATTACTAAATTGATGCAATAAACTCAACTCTTCACACATTTCTGTGACTTCAATATCATTATGTGGCATATATTTGCAATGTTCTGTCATGTTTTAAGCAAATTATTAATCTCTTGAAATAATATACCTTGGGTGGAATAGGCATAAATATAAACTTCAGACCTTACAAAAAAATCGCATAATTTAAACAAAAAACACTCAATGGAGAATGGTGTAAAGCATTTTCATCATTCACGCAACAAAATTACAATAATAAATTAGATTCTTTTTAACGTCAAAATATGTTAATGATTCCAAAATTACCTCAACCCATTACACACAACAAGAATATCAGAATATTTTATGTTTCCGATATCATTACATAATTCATAATGTTATATATAAGATTTCAACAATTAAATAAGCAACACCGAAACCCAGAAATTTCAGTCTCATGGAAAAGATGTTGAAATAAAAAAGGAAACATGGAAATAGATACAGAAAAAAAAAAAAAAAAAAAAAAAGAGTAAAGTGTGAACAACGAAACAGAGAGAGACATATGGACAAAAATAATAGAAGAAAAAATAAAAGTGGAATTGTGACAAAGATAAGTCTCATAAAGAATCAATTGTTTTCAATATAAGAAAGATAAAATATTGTTTTCGTTTCTAATAAATCGGTTGTTAGTAAAACTGTGTGTCAGTTTCCTGTGCGCCGCAACAATTGTCATTAACAGTAGTCCATTTGACAAAAACTAGGAACAATTAATTTGTATTTTCCAACTTCAATTTTGCATTATTCATAAAAATAATAAAAAAACAAAAAAACAAAACATTTCATCTAATACTTATTTTTTATTTAAAATATTACATCAAAAAACCTGTACTCCAGTCAAAACATTACATCTAGCACCTATTCATATTTAAAACATCATATCAAACACCTATTTTCTATATCAACTTTTTTTAATATTACCAAAACATCAATATACTTCCAAAAACAACTAAACAAACCCCTAATTAACTACTAATTAGCCTATCTAGCCGAACACCACTGTGGAGTTGTAAATGGCGCACAGCGTGGCGCACGGGATACACTACAACAAATTACAATTTTAAATACATAATGCGCAATCAATATAACACATTTTCAACAAGATATAGTCATTTAAAACTTTGTAAAACATACACTATTTAATATACAAAGGGTTTGCTTACTTGTGTTTTTTAACTTACTTTCAACTATTCAAACTCTCAATTTTCCTCCAAAAACATCAAATCCAACGCCCATTTTCCATTTAAAATATCATATCAACCACAGTTTCACCGCAAAAACAATAAAACAAAAAAAAAACATAAACATTAAAAAAAGGCAAACAAGCCCTAATAGAGTAAAAGAAAATTATTGGCGAAGAAACAGCTTAAAAACTGAAACATCAGCAACAGACTGCCTTGCCTGGCAGAGGATCAGAAGCACTGGGAGAGGGAAGGGAAGTATTGAAGGAAAAACGGAGATTTGAAAAACAATAGGGCAGAGGGCGGCGGCCAGCGGCTATGAGCAGGAGAAACATGGGAAGAATATAAATATACTTTCCATATACAAGCCCTAATCAATTATAGGTAACCCTAATAAATAAATATTAAAAACATATATATTCAAATAGTGCCACGCGCCACGTGACATGAAAATGGCGCCTCGGGCACACATCTGGACATAGCGCACCTAACTATAACAAATGGCATAGAGGCTGCAGCCATGGCGCGCCATTTACAGCTGTGTCGCAGCAGCTTTCTCTCCAAAATTGTAAAGGACACAAATAGTTGAAAGAAGTCACTTTTAGAGACAATAATTCAAAGCTAGCAGGTATAGCTCGTCACTCAACATTATCGGCAAAGCTCATTCACTTGGTTACACCAATTTTAGATTAACTATATACGTTGAAATAAGATAAATAAGACAACATCATCTATTTGCATCCACTAATTATCCGTTGCCAGCTGTCGCAACAAAAACACCGACAGCAACATATCAAAAGAACCAATCAAAGAACACGAATTTCTTCGTCTGCATGGCACAACATGCAGAAACAACTCAAATTACCAGAGTAGGGTAAATTTCACTTGGATGAGATCACAAAATTAATGCATTCACTAAACCTGCAGTTTAGGATTTACAGATTTAGGGCAATTATCATCCTATTCAACATAAGGTAATTCACTACATTAATTACCAGCAAAGTTAACTGTATGCGACTCAGTAAACTAGAGATTTCAATTCAGTACAAACAGATATTAAAAAACCTCAAACAAACATAATCCGCAATGCACAAATTCGTTCTCCATAAACGTATCCAGTCTCACCTTGCAATTAGCCACCCTGTCCATCCTCTCCATCCTCAACCCCTCAAAATGACCGCTCTTTGCCGCAGCAGAATCAGCCAACAATCAATCAGAATTCAGTCAACACCACTCATGCAACCACCCAAAATCAACCACTGATCCAATCAAACAAACAAAAGGCCGACAATCAAAATCACCATCAATGAAGAACTTCAATTCCAATTCAAAAAACAATCAAAAATTCACAAAACCGCACTCCAATGCAAACCATCACAAGAATTTGCATGATAAAAACAAGAGCACACAAGCTAATTCCATAAACAACCAAAAACAAATAAAAAATCCGCCTACCCTTTGAAGCGTCAAACCAATAGAGGGTTTTGCAGCGGCGCAGGACACCAAAGGAAGAAGTCAGGTCGCCCACGGCACCGCCTCGCCGTCTCGCAAGGGTTGATAGAGAGAGAGAATACGTGCTTTCATTTGACCCCCCAACGCCAGCCGGAAGCAAATGCCACCTAATTTTCCGGACGTATCGTCGGTTTGTTCATTCCCGTTAATTGAACGCAGATACATCCGGGTTCGAATCACCTGCTCTCGAGTCCACGCCCGTTACCCTGTGCCCCTCGGGATTATGCTTTAAATATTTTATTATTATTATTATTATTATTATTGCTATGTGTGAAACGGCTTTTCGGCACATGATTTTTGCAACAGTAAATATGTGGTTTTTTTGCAGAAGTTAAAGAGTTTGTTTTTCTAATAAATTTTTGGTTAAATTGTACCAAATATTTTATAAAATTGCACGAAAATTCTTGTACTTTCAAAATCTCATCAAATTTTTTTTGTGGTTTTATAAGCTCAGTTTTTATTTAATATTGTTTGATGTACATCCGTTCAAACTGTGATTAAATTTTAAAATCTTCATTTTTAAATCTTTGAAATTACAAAAAAACACTTATTATTTTTATTATTTAACCTAGAGAAATAGTAAATATAGTCAGAAATAGTTATTTTTTCTTCTGATTTTAAAATTTACTTTTTTAATATTTTTTATGCTAAATATAAGATTTGAATATATTTATAATTTTAAGAGTTTAGAAATTAGTATTATAATATTCATTCGCATATGTAGGTCACGCATCACAAAAAAGGACGGCCGATGGATTAGACGCAAAGTTTATGAAACCACACGAGAGAGTTTGACATAATTTTAAAAGTACATACGATTTTATTCAATTTTATGAAACTATAAGTGAATTTTATACAATTTAGCCTAACTTTTTTTCATTCTTAATATATAATGTATATTTTATTATTTTATAAAAATTATATAAATAATATAAAATTAATATTTAATATAAAATTTTATTTTTTATATTTTATATAAAAAATATATATTTCAAATTAAAATATAAAATAAATAAACCCAAAATATGTAAACAGACTTTCGTTTGATTTGTTATACTCCCTACAAATAGAGGTTTCCTAAATTTTGAAATTTTAAAATTTTTAAAAATATAAAACTAATCAAAAAAAAATATTATATTTAATAATGTTACGATCATTCCCGAATTTGATAAGATTTTATGGGATCAATTTTAAAATTCCAATAAATTTATATTTGATTACAAAATAAATAATAAAATTCAAAATACTCAAAAATTTTAAAATTTTGCAATTAGAGGATTTTATAATAATTTGCATTCCAACATTTATCTTTATGCTCTCCCATCCAACAAAAAAAAAAAAAAAACTCTAGTTCTTTTATTAATATTATATATCTTTATATTTTATTTATTTTATAAAAATATAATATTTTATTTGAACATACTAATAAAAATTTGTATATTTATTTATAATTATCAATTTTATTTATATTGAATTATATTACTAACGATGTTTTAAATAAGTTAATAATTTTAATTATTTGATTGGTGTGTTAGTTTTATATTTTTAATTTAAAATATTTTTTCTATTAAGTACTGTATGTCTGGAGTATAAAACTAATATTTTATATTGAATTGTTAGTATATAAATTATATTATATATTTTATATGAATCTGTATATATTATATATTTTAGAATTAATTAAAAACCGTTGTAATAATTTTCTATTAGAATACACCTAATTTGATAAAAAAATATATATAAATAAATTTTTTAAAAAAATAAATAAATAAATGTACAAATTTAATTTATCACAATAAATAAAATTCGTGATGAGACAATTATGTTATTTAAAAATATAACAAAAATTAAATCCTTCACTCAATCCGCAAAATAAATTGAATTTGGAAAATATAAATCTTGAATAATTTTACCAACCAACCAACGATATATATAACTCCAAATATCCGACTCTTAAATGCAATAAATTCTATCACATAAAAAAAATCTTAAGGTAAAATCGCATTTTTACAAAAAAAAAAAAAAAAACAGTCATTGAACCAAACACTTTATTAAAAGAAATGTATTGTCATTATATGTGTTATATAGTGTAGTGTAGTACAGAAACAAAGCGATATCTATCAGACGAAATCAGTCCAAGATAATTACAAATTTTAATTTGAATAAGTAAATCGTAATAATATGATATTTTTAAAAAATAATATATTTTTCATCCTAAGTGAAATTATATTTTTTTATCATTCCATTAGTATCTATTTTTTATTATCACACTAATGCTAAATATTATTAATCTTTTACATAAATTACAAAAATATTATTATATATAAATATAGAAAACATATTAAATTTATTTTACACACTTCTACTTATTAATAAAATACTTTTAAGGTGTGTTTGTTTGAAGAATGTTAAATATTTCTACTATTCACACAAAATTTTACTCCCTCCAAATAGATCAAATCAGATACATATTTTTTATTTTTTATTTTATTCCAAAAATCCAACTTTACATTCAAAACATCATATCAATACTTATTTATATCACATCATACTCCTATTTCAATTCATTTTTTTTTAATTATTATTCAAATCTCAACTTAAAATCTAAACTCTCAAAACAAACACGTCTACTAATTTCGCCAATAAGTATAAATTATATTCCCTCCATCGCGGTCCCAATGGGCCCTTTGGGGTTTAGTAATAGATTAAAAAATAATACTAGTATTTTATTAGTCAGTGGAAATGTATAAAATGTTTTGATATTTTTTTGTCTTTTTTGACTTCATGTAAAAAGTAATTATGTGTAATTGTATGTTTATAATTTTAAAAAATAAATAAATAAATAAATAAGGGTATTTTGGTATTGATGTATAATTAATTTTACTAAAAATAAAAAATAAATACTTTGAAGTGTGACGGACGAAAATGAGAAAAATGATACTTTGAATTGAGATGAATGAAGTAATTTTATTTGTTTTTAGAATTAGATAAACTCAAGCGAAACAAAAACTTCACGCAAAGACATAATTACACTTTCTTCAGGGATGGAAATTGGTCGGGTCTAGCTGGACCCAAGCTCTAACTTGAATACATATTGTTGGATTAGAGACTCGAATTGGACTCGACTATACCCTGACACGACAATACCTGACCCGACTCGAACAATACCCGATGGATCCGACAAACTTACGAAAAAATTTTACAATTCTTAAAGTTTAACTTAAAATTGAATTTGAATCCGGATTCGGACACAATATATATTAAAATTTATGAATTTTATTCAAAAATATTACTCTCTTCGTCCCTTAAATAACTATTCATTTGTTAAAATAATAAAAATAAAAATTATCTTTATACATTTTATATAATTTAATCTCATTTTAAAATTTTAAATTTATAATTTTTTTAATTTTAATTAAACTAATTAGCTATTTTATTATTAATCTAACTTTTTAATTATTTATTAATTATATTCTTTTTAAATTTTCGTATTTATATTAAATAAAATACCATAGTTGGAATAAAGAGAGTATAAAAATTCTAACAAGACAAAATACTGCAACTGTCCTTTTACTTAGTCAAAATTCAAATGTAGCAAGAAATTCAAATAAGTTCGAACAAGTATTTTGACCAAGTCTATGATGCATGGTTAATTCTTAAAAAAAAAAAAAAAAAAAAAAAAACACATATTTTAATTAAGGGTTTGTTTGAAAAAGGTGTTTTAATTTGTATATAATAAGAGCATAGTGATATAATTTATTCATCCACAAAATCGAGTACTAATTTTCTTCTTTATTTGTTTACAAATATATATATATATATTTTATAGTAAAAAAAAATTTATATATTTTTTTAATTTATATACTTTAATATTATACTTATTTTTAAAAAAAAATCAAAATTACTAGCACATAGTATAGTCTATAAAAAATTATTTTACTTTATTAACTCACTTATATATTTTTTTGACACAATTTTTTATATGAAGGTTTATTTTTTTTGGTTATTTTTTACTTTTTATGATAAAAAAAAAAAATACAAAAAGTTATATTTTTTCCGTCTCATTGTGTCTATACCTAAATCCGTCCGTCCTGCTTATCATTCATTTTTTTTTAAAAAAAAAATGAATTATACACTCTCATTTAAAAACATATATTAATTTATAATTTTTTAAATTTTAATTAGACTAATTAGTTATTTTAATTTTTTATTATAGAATAATTATTTTCACTAATATATTATTAATTATTTATTAATTATACTCCTTATAAATTATTGTATCTAGAGTAAAAAAGACACCTTAGCAAAGACGGGGAACATTATATTTTATAAAATGTGTATCAAATTCAAATGAATATACATGTTGCGGATGAAAGGAGTATTATATTTTGAATAATAATATAATATTTTTATTATAAATTATATGCAAAAAAATATTGTTGGGAATTAAAGAAATTAAAAACAAAGATAACCTATTATGAGTTTTGTAGAGTTTTAGTGCAACGGGTGATCCGCATCAAAGAAACTCTTTAAAAGTTTTTCTCAATTTTCACCTCATACTATTTTTTTTTTTGCTATTTTACAATCTCTTTTTTCGACTTCATTGCAAAAATATATATATATATATATTAATTTATATCAAAATAATTAATAATATTATTAAATTTAAAAATAAAATTATATATATCATTTTGTATAGAATAAAATTTTATATAATACAAAAATATATAAAAAAAAATTAAAAAATAATTAAATAAATGATATATTTAATAATAATAATAATAAAAAAGTTTCACTGAGTTGCTCTGTCCAACACCGCTTCCGCTATGCTTCTTCCATTCTTTTTCTATTTTTTTTTTTACTTGGGAATCCGCAATCGCTACCAGAAAATGAGCATTGGGTAAACCTCTAATTGAACCTAATACCTTGCAAACTAAGCTCGTCTGGCAAGTCACACTAGGCGAACCATATGTGGCAAGTGACCTGAGGCCGTCGCTGTCATGATTGTCCGCCGCCGCTGCCGCATTCGAGGCTCAAACGGTAAGACGAAAGCAAGCAGAAAGAACAAATGAAGACTGCCGTCGTGGTCGTCCTCCGCCGCTGCTGCCGGAGTTGTTGCTGGTGGTGTTGAGTAGAAGATCTTGGATCGGGAAGATAAGACGGTTAGTAGGTTTATTTTAATTAATCTTTTTTTTAGAATAATACATAATAATAATAATAGTAATAATAATATAGGTTGAGAGGAAGAGAACAAAGATGGTGTAATAATAAAGAAAAAGCAAAAACTTGCCTAAATCGAGTGTATAGATCTCGGCGAAGCCAAACATACGAGAGCCGGTAAAAATAGATACGATTTAAAAAATTTATTCAAATTTAATATAAAAGAAAAAAAAATGCTTAAATCTAAAAAAATAAATTTAATAAATTCTTGATCATGACGTACTCAGGCTTATTAAGGTATGCCCTGTCGGGCCAACCCAATTAATTAAAATTATATAATTTTATAAATTTATCTTAAAATTTAAATATATGTGTATACTTATGAAATAATTTTCGCCATAAATCAATGGACACATTTTTTTTCTTTTTTTTGAGTTTGTTTTATTTTAATTGACATATGATTATTTTTAATAAATTATATTAATTTAAAATGTATATAATATATATAAATTAACTTTTGTAACATATAATATTATACAATATATAGAACTCACTTAAAACTCTTTATTTTTATTATTTTTCTCAATAAATAAATATTTTTATCTAAATTTAAATTTTTTATTTTATTAATGTTTGCACTAAGTTTAATAAATATTTTATTTTAACGACTTCTTGTGATAGTTTTAGTATATAAAAACTATTTTATCCCTATAATGTGTAAAGTTAATATTAGATATTAATGTAAATAAATATAAACGTAATAATTTTGTAATGTATAGTGGAGTCTATACATACTAATAAAAATGAAATGAGGACTTTGTATTTGAAGAACAAAAAATACAAAATATATACTTCGATTTTAATTTAAAATTCAATAGGAAAATATATAATACTAACATTACTTTTTTATAAATAAATTAATTAACCACTTAACCAAACTTTTCATGTGTGTATTCAATTAAATGTGCTTCTGACTTGTTGGTGTATTTTCTTAGGTTGTCACATTTTATTTCATTGATTGATAGTGGCATGTCTAATATCATTATACTCCCTCCGTTCTAGAAGTATAATTTTGGTTGTTTTGGATATAAAATTTAAAATATATTGATATTATATTAAAAGTAGGTAAAAAAATATGAGTAAAAGATTTTTTTATCCTTGCGAGTGTATTAGCGTAAAAAGTAGCGGCAATTGTGTAATAATAATGAAAAAGTAAAAATAATCTTATGATATGATTATTTATGAAAATAAGGCTATTGTTTTGAGATGGACAAAAATAGTAAATAGAATTATTGTATTAAGACGGAGGGAGCATAAATATTTTGAGTTATTGTTCTTTACCCATCTATCATATTATTATACATCCTAATAATACATGCAAGTATTTTTTATTTTCTATTTTTACCTTCTACTATCATATTATATAATATGAATCGATGCCTATTCTTGTTATTTTTACTTGATAAATTGATATCTTAAATAAGTGATAAAGCTTATAAAGACAAATCATACTTAGTATTTAGTTAAATACAAATTCAAATACAAATAAAAAAATAAAATAAATAAATTGCTTATTGTTGGAGTATACGATTTGAGAGAATTGTAGAAAAAAATATTGATTCTCATAAAATCGAAAATTCAATTGATAATGTAAGAAATTGTACATATTTTGTTGAGAAAAGTAAAAAAAATATATAACGATCTAAATGAGATAGTTTATTGCAAGTGAAAAAGGAAATAATGAATCTATAAAAAGAAACGATAAATCAAATAAAAGAAAATTTTAGTGAAATTGAGAATCCACGGAAAGAAAAAAGAAAATTCCCGTATTTAGTTAGTAAATTTTTATTTTACTTTTTATTTGAATTCTCTAATGAAATTAGTTCATTTTTCAAATTTATTTTGCTGACTTAAAGAAACAAAAAAATTGAAAATAATTTTATTTATATTTTCATTTTCTTATAAGACGAGATAGTATGTAATAATACCAACTAACTCTAAATAATAAAAACTTAATCTAAATTGTAAACTAAATATATAAAACATTTCAACGTTATAATGCCATAAATAGATATCTAAACGGAGTTATAGAAAACAATATAATTCTCAAAACCGTTAAAATTGCAAATAAAAGCCTCAATATATTTGGATTCGAAAGCAGAATTCTCAATAAGTGGGACAAATGATCCAAGGCTAAACAAAGATTTTTTTATTGAAATTGAAAAATAAATTTAGGATGTGTTCGTTTGTAGGTTTTTAACAAAATCCTACTATTCATCCAAAATTTTCCCCCCAAAAACATCAAATCAATCACCTATTTTTCATTTTTTATATTATACTAAAAATCAATTTTACATTCAAAACATCACATCATCACCTATTTATATCACATCATATAATTATTCAAATTCAAAATTTTTACTATTCAAATCTCAACTCAAAATCCAAACTCCCAAACAAACACACCCATCAGCAAACCACCTGCAAGTTATACTCTAATATGATACTCCTATTATATTTTGCAAGTTGTTATTATTAATAAGAAAACTCAAGCTTAACATAGGTGTGGTACAGCTGGATAAGGATATATTCAAATAATAACAAATTAATCTAAATAATACTCTCTCCGTCTCAAACAAGATGCAATATTTTTTTTGGCACGAATTTTTAGGTAAATAATATTAAATAGGATAATTTAGAAATGAGATGATGTGATGAGAGAGAAATATATATTTTATTATTTTATTTGGATGATGTGAGAGGATAAAGTATGGGATAGAGATTAGGTATAATTAATTATTTTCTATTTTAGAAATATTGCATGGTGTTTGGAACGTACAAAAAACAAAAATGTTGCAGGATGTTTGGGAATAAAAGAGTAGAAATTTAGTTTAAACCATAAACCACAAACCAAATAGGGTAAATTATATTGTACATTATGAAAATGCGTTAGAATATTTTGTATTTAATTTATACTACATTAAATTCTCTTGTATTAGCATAAAATATTATTTCTGTTATAAAAAATAGCAATTAAGAATCACAGGTTTACTATAAATAACTTTTGAAGATGAATATATATTTTAATCTTTTAAGCAAGAATCACAAGATTGGGAAAATAATGGCAACACCAACTATTTTAGGGTGTGTTTTTTGGGCCCCAAATTTGGAGTTTTTACTGTCCACGGTTTGGGGACATGGTTTTTTTCTTTTTTTAATATTAAAATATAATTTAATATTTATTATAATTATAGGGGGAAAAAATATATACAATATACATATTTTGTAGAGAATAAAATTTTGTCACAAGTCCAACTCCTACACCACAAAACTATCCCTTACGGGACAAAATTTTCACATTCTTTATTTTTATATCATATGTACAATGGAGGCATAATTTTTAGAAATTTACAAATTTCATCTACTATTTTTAAATAAAATTGGAGAAAAAAGCTCTCAATCTTATTTATCTCATTTCGTTTTTCATTACTAAAGTTCTAATAAAAAAATTTATAATGTTATTCATATTCAATATGAGGCCCTCTACATAACTAAGTGCTTGATTCTTAATCATAGCTATTTTTGGACAAAAAAAAAAGTACAGACGCGAGAATACTATCCAATAAATAAAACACGTTATATTTTATGCAATTTTTATAAAATTGGGGGTTTATTATGCAATTTACCAATCAAAGATCTTACTTGAATTGAAGCTTTCGATGGTCCTTTGTGTTTCACTCTGTTTAGATGCATCTGCTTCAGTCATTGCTACATCTCCAGGTTCCATACTAATAAAAATTAAAATTCAAATTAATCCGATAAAAAAAAAATTAAAATTAAAATCCGATCAAAAAAAACATTTAAATTTTTTTTAAAAAGACACACATGGCATTACCTCATTGGATGGTGCTGACCTGAAGCCATACCATTGCAACATTGACGGCATCCAAGCACACTGTGTGGAACAGAAAGAGAAAAAAAGGGATCTAGGCTATATTCACATATTATGTTAGATCTCTTTCGCAACACGGCCGTGTTATTTGTCATCCTCCACACTGCTGGTTAGTTAGTTAGTCATGCTTTTAAAGGGACCATTATTTGTTTTCTCATGTATCCCACAAGTTAGAACACTACAGAATGATCAACTATTTATTACAAATAGTACAAGTAATAGAATGTAAAATTTATCATATTGAAGAACACCTAACAAAACCCTCATAGAAAATGCACAGAAATGCAACATTCTTCAACAAAATATGCTAAACTCAATGTAAAAGATCCTAAAGAAATTAACATTCTAAACAATCTATAATTTCAAGATTCTGTTTTGAAATGAAATAATTTAATACAGATTCCCTCGCATCATTCTAATTTGTAATTGTATCGACAAAGCAAAAGAAAGGATTTCGATAGTATAAACATTGTGGATAGATTTATGAGCCATTTTTGACTTAAAGGTTGCAGATTAAGAGCAGAGAGATATGTACAGTGCCTAATGAACTTAAATTACAGGCCACCTCTTACAGCAAATAACACACAAATTAATTTCACAAATCTATAGTAAATCACTGCCAAAACATGCATATCAGAGCATAGTAATTACGAACAAATATGGATTGAGGTCGAGGTGTGCCTAACCATTTAAGCTCAGCCGGATAAATAGGATTCGTCACTGTCCGTGGTTTTCTTGCCTTTCTCTACATGGTTTCACTCATCCAAGTCTCTGCAGTAGCCACAGAAATCAGCAGTCAGAATTTTACGGGCAGTAAATCTGATACGGTATATTTACTTGGTGGGATTCGAGTCATTGTGGTGAATTAAGAGACTATTAATCCTTGCTGATCAAAAAAGATAACTCCATCCATATGGAAAGCAGTGAATTTGTTCGTGCAATGTTTAAAATATAAATGCAATGCTAATTTCACGAACAAGAGTTGAAAAACCATCATTGTATGAATCCATAAAACAAAGATCATTTGTTTGTCCAAACATCGAATCCTTATGGGCAGGCACACAATGAACAACATCCAAATCAACGACACTTGTATTAGAAACTATGCCATTCACTAGCCTAATAGATAAATACAGACACATTCAATGGGAAATGCCGGGGATTCAGTAATCCTGCCTTGAAAGGCTTATTGCAATTTGCATCACAACAATCTCTAAAAGAAGATAAACGTAGACCAGCCGAGCATAGCACAGATTATAAGATATCCCCATCATTCATTTAAGCATCACATTAGCATAAATATCATCCATATGGTACAAAACAGGAACAACAGTAAACAGATTATGGATTCACTTACATCAACTCATGAGGCACCGGATTCCTTCCACGTTTCAAAGATCTAGCAGCAGAGGCCCCTGAACTTTGAACAGCACCAGAATCAACCTCATGGAGTCCATTCTCAAAAGCCTTAGCCAAATTCTCAAAGTAATTCTTAGTGGTGTTAGTAAGTCCCCTGAGCTTCAACCGGTAACTGCCGAAATTCTTTGAGGAGTCCCCTCTCTGAAGGTACTTCCGAAGCCCCCGCTCGGCGCAATGGTGCAGCCTCTCCAAGGCCGACTCCGCCTGCCCCTGTAAGAACTCGAAAAGCTGCTTTTTCGCAACCTCGGTCTCGGCTAGATAATACCCATACACGTAGCTCCATTTCAAAATCCTTCTGCACTCAATTATCCGTTCCCACGCAGCCACAACTACCCTAAGCATCAGCCGATCGCCACACCTTGACTCAATCACCTCTTCTGTGAGCTCTTCCTTCATAGTCTGTAAATCGGAAATGGCCTTCCGTTTGGACATGTTGTTTGAAGCCCATCGCTCATAGTAATGAGTATACTTTCTAAGATGCTTCCGAGCACTTTGCTGGGAGCTCCTTGATTCCTCCGTTGCCTTGTATCCATTGCAGGCTTTGTAGCCATGGACGTCCCAATCGTTCAGGCACAGCCAGCAGAAGACGAAGCAGCACGGCGACCGGCAAGTCATCCTGTTGCAACCGCTGTTCTTCTCTATTGGACGCTTGCACTTAGGGCAGGGTTTCGTGAACGCTAGAATCCATCGCGTGTTTACCGATTCGATGTCGTTTTTCTCCATCCAATTCGAGACGGTTTTGCAATCGACGGGACGGTGGCTCTCCTCCGTGCACTTCCAGCAGAAGCTGTGCGAACAATCGCAGGTGACGCTGTAGTCGGTGGTGTCGCTCTCGAAGGCGTATTCGATTGCGTAGGTGCAGCCAGGGGCAGGGCACCATTTGCACTTTTTGTTCTCCTCGATGTAAGACCTCAAAAGGAACTGATCGTACTTCTTCTTATCGTCTTCAGATGCGAGCGATTCGATCATGTCCAAACCCACGGCGGCGCCTCCGCACGACGGCTCCGGACAGCGTAGGTCGAGGCATCCAGGACCGTCGCTCACAGCCGTACAAATGTACGATCTCCAGCAAACTTCGCAGAACGGATGACCGCAGGCGGCGGAGTGAATCCTCTCCGGCGAACACCGTTCGAAGCAGATTCCGCAAGGCGCCTCCGAATCCTCCGACGTGGTTGCGGTCTCCGAAGGTAGCCCGACGGCTCTCCGAATCCTCTCTTCGTCCGGAAACCAGGCGTCGTACACACCGATTGGACTCCAGTTATAGCGGCGGAGAAGCAAGCAGGCCGTAGCCTTGGAGACGGAAAGCACACTCCGAACGTCATCGATGGCGTCCTTCCGGCGTCGGCGGATGTCAATTTCCCCCAAAACTGTGTAGCTTTTGTCGTCTTGCGCGTCCTTGTCGAGTTCGTCCATAGTGTGGAGGTAGGGATGATCGGCATCGGCGACGCCGAGGGAGATTAGGAGCTCTCCGTCGTCCTGCCATGGCTCCATGGAAGATCAAAAAATGGATTAAAGCAGTAAGTAATTTCGCAATAATATTATTGTGAGTATAGTGTAAAGACTCGGGAGTTGACCTAATTTGTGTATGTATGTCTATAATTATTGGAAGAATCTTTGTTTATTTGGGAAAGCAGCTGCTGCTTTTATGCTATGCTTTCCTTTGCTATATAATATGCGTTTTATTATTATTATTATTATTATTATTATTATTTGTTATTAATAATGCCTCCATATCACATTAACATAGCATAATAGTCTCAGTATGATTAACTGCTCTGCTTAATTTAGAAGATACGACTCTTTCGGTATTATAAGTAGGCTAACTTACACAAATTTATATCTAATTTTATAAAATTGTACAAAATTATTCATACTTTTTAAATTATATCAAATTTTATTGTGGTTTTATAAACTGTGCGTTTAATTTATCAGTCCTCCTTATTTAACTGTGTTTAATTTGCACACAAAAAAATATGAATAAGTTTTAAAATTTTTATAACACTTTAAAATTATAAATATACTTACTATATTTAATATAAAAAAATAGTAAATATACGTCAACACGTATAGTTTATGAAATTACAAAAGCACTTTACGTAGTTTTATAAGTACGGGATTTAATACAATTCTGTAAAAATACAAGTAAATTTTGTACCATTTAAATCTTATAAGTATAGGAGAAGTGGCTGCTGTTGATTTGAATGGCTGGACATACGTTATATAGATGATCATGTGTATATAATATTTTATTATATGCTTATAATATAATACTTTATTTTTATATTTATATATATTTTATATCTGTATAAATTAAAAAAAAATATTTATAATATTAAATAGATATTATAATTATTAAAAAAAAAATAGATAAATTGTTACCAAATCAGAACCATAACCACTCCAACAATCCAATTCACGCGCCGCCGTCACCCACCTTGCCCTCCCCCACTTTCTTTACCCGTCTTTCTTCTTCCTTTTTCTTTCTTTCTTCGTTACTTTCTCCCCCTCTTCTCTTTTTTCTTTCCTTTTCTTCTAAGTTGCGCCGCCGCCGCCGCCCGCTGGAGTATCCGGTGCGGCTTTTTTTAATTTCCCTCTCTTCCTTCATTTCCCTCTGATTGTTCCTCTGATTGTGCTTCCGTTTACTAGGAAATCGAGTATGTTTTAACATTTTCCTCATCTATTTTTTCATTTTTTTTGCTTCTTCTACCGGTGGTCTCCGGTCGCCGGCGCTTCCGTTTCAGACCTCTTTGCCCAAGTTTTTCCGGTAGCTAGGGTGCACAGAAAATCGCACAAACAAACAAACATTGCCAAGTTTATTCTTTAACACCAGTTTTGCTTGTAGGTTTTGTAAGTCGTTAGTCGAAAATTTTGGGTCAAATACAGTTCGTGAAAGCTCACATTCGAAGTTCCACCATGTTCGCTCAAGTCAGGTATCGGTTGCAACAGAGTAAGAACCAATTTTCAATTTCTTCGATTACTTTCACATTCCCCTTTCAATTACATCTCCAAATCGCTCTATTTCATCTCCTATCTGCATTTCCCCAGCAATTCTCCGTTCGCGCATCGTTGAAAACCCTAGAACTCCGATCTCCAGTACAGGATCGTGCGTTTCCTTATATTCCACTTCCACAAGGATATACAGAGGTCCGATTTCGAGATCACTGCGCAAGCGAATCAACAGAAGAGCTAGATTGGCAGCAAAACCTGTTCTAGACAAAACAGTTTTCCAAAAATGTGTATCTCAGCTGCTGCCTAGGTTCACCCCGGAGGATCTCCACAATGTGATAATCGAACAGGACGATCCATTGGTGTGCTTGGAGCTCTTCAATTGGGCGTCTCAGCAGCACAGATTCAGGCACACCGTGTTCACCTATCACGTCACGATCCAAAAGCTCGGTGCGGCCAAAATGTACAAGGAAATGGACGATATCGTCAATCAGGTTCTAGCTATCCCTAACCTGGGCTCTGAGCCTCTTTTCAATACCATGATATATTACTTCACTGAGGATAGGAAGCTTGTTAGGGCTGTGAATATATACAAGCATATGCGTGCTTCCCGGAATTTAGATTGCCGGCCGTCGATTCGTACCTATAACATATTGTTTGCAGCATTTCTGAGCCGCAGGACGAACACCTATATTAACCGAATGTATATGGAGACAATAAGGTGCCTGTTCAAGCAAATGGTTGATGATGGAGTCGAGCCCGATATTTTTTGTCTGAATGCTATGATAAAAGGATATGTGATGTCACTTCATATGAACGATGCCCTTAGGATTTTTCATCAGATGGGTGTTGTGTATAGTTGTCAGCCTGATTCGTATACGTATGATTATTTGATCCACGGTTTGTGCGCCCAAGGTCGAACGAGGAATGCAAAAGAGATTTGTAGTAGAATGAAGGGGAATGGATTTGTGCCTAGCGGCAAGTCTTATAACTCTCTTATCTGCTCGTTGGCTCTCGAGGGTGATGTTGATGAGGCAGTTAAATTCTTGTGGGAGATGGGCGAGAACAAAAGAGTAGCTGACTTTATTACATACCGGACCGTTCTTGATGAGACATCCCGGCAGAAAAGAATAGGAGATGCTTTGAGTTTGCTGCAGGAATTTCGAGAAAAAAGGGTTGTCGATGATCATATGTATGGAAGGCTATTACAGGAGCTGGAAAATGATTCTCAGAGCTTTTATATGAGAAGTTAGTTCTAATTTGAGGTAACTGAACCATTTTAATGGCTGCTCAATTTGCATTTGGGTAACAATTACATAGGTTTGATTGAGTGATTGGTTTGTGTTTGAGTAACCAAACCATTTTAATGTTTTATTTTAAGTTTTTATGCCTTTTCTATTTTTTGCAAGTCTTGTGATGAGATCTAATTCTTTCATTTACATATTAAGATGATGTAGTTTAACTTAGGGCGTGTTTGTTTGAGGAATTGGATTTTGAGTTGGGATTTGGATAGTAAAATTTTTGAATTGTAATAGTTGTATGATGTGATATAAATAAGTGTTGATGTGAAGTTTTGAATGTAAAATTAGTTTTTAGTATAATATAAAAAATAAAAAATAAGTATTTGATTTGATATTTTTTAGGGGGAAAAATTTGATAAATAGTAGAATTTTGGACAAATCCTTTAAACAATATGCTCTCTTATCATTTTCTTTTCAGTTTTGGTTTTCTTTTAGTATTTTAGCCCCGGATATAGTTTGTTAATCATTTATGCTAGAAACAATCTATGGTTTGCTTTGCTTGTTGAAATAAACTTTTAGCATCCTTTTATCTCACCTAACTTCTCTATTTATGGTTTTCATTTAAATTTGCGGATGCAGTGGCAATGCCGATTTGTTTGACGAACTATTCATTGGAGAAAATCATCCTAGATCCTTATTTTAATAGAATCACATCTAAGGTATAGTCTGGACCATATTTTGTGGTCAAGTTGTTTCTTTTTCGATAGACATTCATCATTGGTTATGATACTTAAGTTACAGTTGCAACATTGTGAGGAAGATGTGACAGAGATTGATGTAAAGCCTGATGGCTCCCGGGGCGCCAAGGCAAGGGGCGATCGCAAGAGTCTTGGGGAGCTTGGGCTGTGGCATCTACCTGATGGAACCATCTGTCCTCAGGTGTAAGCAGAATCAAAACCGAAAACAGACCTTCAACCTGGTAAGCAGAAATTGGGTTCTGATAATCATGCTGGTCTTAGATTAGGAATGAAAAAGAACCAAGATGGTTTCTGGGAAATTAACAAACCCTATGGGCTTCAGGGTATTCCTTCTACAAATAGATTTTTGGATTTAAATTTTTGAAATAGTAAAAAGTTTAAATTTGAAAAGTTGTTTGATGTAATATAAACAAAGATGGATATAATATTTTAAATGTAAAATAGATATAACATAGATTAATAGTATTAGGCTGAAACCAAGTCACACTAGGCGAATCATGTATGACAGATCAAGGGAACTATGATTACAATTTGTTGCATAGGAAAAAAATGAGAATTTGAACTCAATCTTTAATCCAAAGTAAAAATAATCAACATATATTTATACATATTTAAGCATACTACGACATGTACGAATATATGGTAGTCACCTATATGGCATTTGCTGCCCGGTCATGTCAGCATTATACTGAATTGGCTAAATCAGCATAGGATCTGTTGCCTTAAAATTGGGTTCAGGCAGATTCGCTAGATTCAAAACAAATTAGGACAAAGCAATTTCATAATCATATCATATGTTTGGCAAAACATAAAACAGAGTTCACAAAGTTGTGAATTGCCATCGCCTATCAAGTACCCAATACTGACGATGACGGCACGCAAGGAAACAACAACACAGCAAGAAATACGAAAAATGTCCTAAGAACGCATGGCACACGAAAACATAGTTCATACGTAATATATTAAAGCAGCAGCAGGAATAATAATAACGTTGTTTACCGGGGAGCGACAGCAAACTTCATTTGGCACCCTTCTTGGCAGCAGCCTTGGTGACTTTGGCGCCAGTCGGATCCTTCTTATCGACATTCTTGATCACACCCACAGCGACCGTCTGGCGCATGTCGCGAACAGCAAATCGCCCGAGAGGCGGGTACTCTGAGAAAGTCTCTACAACCATGGGCTTGGTAGGAATCATCTTCACCATTCCAGCGTCACCGTTTTTCAGGAACTTGGGCTCCTTCTCGAGCTCCTTTCCAGAACGCCTGTCGATCTTGGTGACAAGCTCGGCAAACTTAACTGCAATGTGGGAGGTGTGGCAGTCAAGCACCGGGGCGTATCCGTTTCCGATCTGGCCGGGATGGTTCATGATGATGACCTGGGAGGTGAAGCTGGCAGCTTCCTTTGCTGGATCGTCCTTCGAATTCGAGGCAACAAAACCACGTTTCAGATCCTTAACAGCAACATTTTTCACGTTGAACCCAACGTTGTCTCCTGGAAGAGCCTCCTGCAAGGCTTCGTGGTGCATCTCGACAGACTTGACTTCAGTGGTCAAGCCAGTCGGGCCGAAGGTCACAACCATGCCGGGCTTCAGGACACCTGTCTCAACACGGCCGACAGGGACAGTTCCAATACCGCCAATCTTGTACACATCCTGAAGTGGGAGTCGGAGAGGCTTGTCAGATGGCCTCTTCGGCTCCTGCACCTGGTCCAGTGCTTCTAGAAGAGTCGGTCCCTTGTACCAGTCGAGGTTGGTTGACCTTTCAATCATGTTGTCTCCCTCGAAACCAGAAATGGGAACGAACGGGATCTTGTCGGGGTTGTATCCCACCTTCTTTAGGTAGGAAGACACTTCCTTAACAATTTCATCGTACCTCGCCTTGGAGTATTTCGGAGTTGTCGCATCCATCTGCAAATCATTGATATTGTTAGGTAAGTATGACACAGAATTACAAATTAAAAAAAGTCCAAATTTAACTTGCCTTGTTGCAGCAGCAAATCATTTGCTTGACTCCGAGGGTAAAAGCAAGCAAGGCGTGCTCACGGGTCTGCCCATCCTTGGAAATACCGGCTTCAAAACCACCAGTGGTGGAATCGATAATGAGCACAGCACAGTCAGCCTGTGAAGTTCCAGTAATCATGTTCTTGATAAAGTCGCGATGTCCAGGAGCGTCAATGACGGTGCAGTAGTACTTGGTCGTCTCAAACTTCCACAAGGCAATATCGATGGTGATTCCACGCTCGCGCTCGGCCTTCAGCTTGTCCAACACCCAAGCATACTTGAACGACCTCTTGTTCATCTCAGCAGCTTCCTTCTCAAACCTCTCGATCACACGCTTGTCGATGCCTCCAAGCTTGTAGATAAGATGTCCTGTGGTGGTTGACTTTCCGGAGTCAACATGGCCGATGACCACAATGTTAATGTGAACCTTTTCCTTACCCATGGCTAAAGATTCAAAACTGCAACAAAGCAAAATATGAATTAGAAACAACTGATGCTTAACATCATTCCGAATTCACAGTAATATTATCAAAATATCTATCAATCAAATAATTTCGTTCCTTCAACCACACAGAACCAGACAACGAGTAAAAATCACAAATAAAGATTCTAAAAACCACATCTTCAAAGTTAATCTAATAGTGATTGTTCCTCAACCAGATACGAGAAACGGCGGCTGCCGCCACAGATCTGGAATCACGATAATAACTGAAATCATCGATTCGCAAACACTTACAATCATAATCATACAACACACATACAAGCACCAAAAGAATCAGAGCAAGAACACACGAAGTACATCGAAATCAGACACATTAAATCGAAAGTACATATCCAAACACTTCCAAAACAAGCTTCTCAAACGACGATGCGCAGCAAACAGATAACATAATCAAAACCTAATAATTGAATCTGCAATAAAGAAATCTAAACAGCCTACGGGGAAAAGACCAGACCTTCAGCACGGATTTGCGATGAAACGAAATGGATTTTCAGAGAAAGCCAAGCAGCAGCGGCGGCGACCAGAAGAGAAAGAGAAGAGAATAGAGAAGAATGGAGGCAAGAGGCGAGTATATCGGAGGCGCTAGGGCTTATGTCGGATGGAGATTTTTCGGAATGAAATTACCAATTTAGCCTCGTATGTCGGCGCATTCAGAAACAAGTAAACAGTTGCGACCAGGGTATTTTCGGTATACAAATATAGCTGTTGGGCTCTTGAATTTATCTTGACGTGGGTTGGGCCCAAAAATCAGAAGGACCCGATTCTGGGCTGTCTGTGGCTCGTTATTGTAAAAGGTTTGGGTCCGATTCGATTCTAACCGGGTCGGATGCTCCAATAATATATACTACTCCCTCAGCCCATTTATGTCAATTTTTATTTATTTTTATATCTTCGGAATAATTTTTTAAATTTTAATTAAACTATTTGATTTATAAGTTGAAAAATTCAATTGATTTGGATTTTTTTGGTTTGTTTTGAATTAAGAAGTTTGAGTTATATTCGGTTGTAAGTTAATTTTTTAAATATATTGTATTAATTGATGATTAGTTAGTTAAAATAATATATAATGATTGATTTGATATGTTGAATTTAAATAATAGTAATATAATAAATTTTATTTAAATGAATTCGTTAACATTTTCTAATGAATTACAATAATAATAATAATAATAATAATAATAATAATAATAATAATAATAATAATAGACACATTCATATAATATAATAATATAATTTTTTTTTACAAAAATTTAATAATTCAATATAAATATTACTATTGTTTTATATTATTGACATAATTTTTTAACATCGCATAAAACACTAAACAAGCACTTTTTTCACCAAATACAATATTTTTATTAATAACATTTTTTTTAGATTTTTTTTTTACTATAAAAGTACTATTTTTCTTTAAAAAAATTATTTAGCTAAATATATAATTTTTTTTAATCAATACATCACTATTTTAAAATTATATTTACAATACAACACTAATTCAAAGATGTCAGTTCAAAAAAATTTAAATTCAATAAAAAAATTCAATTCAATTCCAATTCCAATTTACAATGAAACGGACCTAAGTTGTTCAATAATTGCGCCTCTAATCCAAATAAGGCCATATTGATAATACAATAGTTGATGGTCTTTCATCTATACTTCATATGTCCATTGATCAAATGATCCATTTGGTAATAATATAAAATATTGGTATAGATTAATAAGTTATTAATAATAAATTATGATATTATTTTATTAATTTTTTTATATAAATAGTGGTATTAATATTCTAAATATTTTTAACAGAAATATATATAATATGAATATCATTATTTTTTAAATAATAAAATTTTATATAGTACAAATAAATAAAAAATATTATTATTTATAATCAATTTCACTACTTAAAAAAAATTAAATATAAATAAAAATAGAGAAATTTTGAATAAATTTATTAAAAACATAAAAATTTCATCTTTTATAAGACAAAAAATAATAATAATAATAAATCTGTCTGTGATCAGACAAAAAAAATGCAATAATAACTGTGTTGAAACGTGACTTGGATTTAGCGGTCTACCCGATCCTAAACCAAAGTGAAAGGGCTGTTTCAATTGGCAGGTTCCTTTTGGGCTTATCTTAATTAATAACAAATGGACTTAGGGTTTATGGTGTTTTTGGGATGCTTATAAATAGACAACTATGGTTCTTAGTCGGATGACATATTGTAAATCTCTGAATCAGTATAATAAAATCTCTCCGGTTCCTGCCCGTAGACGTAGGTTGACACACCGTCACCGAATCACGTAAAACTTATGTGTTCTTTATTTGTTTCTTTCTCGTTTTCTCATAACAAGCTGAATTGTTACTTCTTTTTTTTTTTTTCGCCCAATTTACTGTTTAATTAGGGCAAGCACAAGGATGGAAATAATAATAATAATAATAAATAACTATATTTGAAATGGAATGTCAACCATCTTCTTTGCTCTTAATGATGTAAAAAATTACTTTTTTCTCCGACTAATGATAAATTGACTTTGGTCGGTTCGTAATCGTCATGGCTTTGAACTTCCAACGCCTTCGAATTTTTTCTATTATACATGATTCGCTTAGAGTGATTTATTTTTTCGAGCCTAGTTTACATACTATTAAATTTGGTCGAGAATTTACTCAATACGTACTATTGCAAAACTCTCATGTTACTATTGCAAACTCTCGTGTTACAAAAGAAAAAATAAAAAAAAAACTATTAAAATGTCACTTTGTGAACATTTGATTCCCGTATCTTTCTCTTAGGATGTTTTTAGTACAAGATCAGATAAATGGAAATAGTCTCATTTTTATTTCTCTATTTTTATTTCTTTTTCACATGGAGAGAAATGATGTTGTAGTATATATATATTATCTTTTTTTATTATATAATTTTTATACTTTTTTTTAAAATTATATTATTTTAATTTTACAAAAAATAAATTTAATTTATTATTAAAGTATTTAATTTTTATAATTTTGTAAGAAGTTTTTATTAAAATATAATTTTAAAAAATATCATATATAACTTATAAAAAAAATTATCAAAAATATTTTTGATTAATTTTTATTCATTATCTATTTATAAAAAAAAAGAATTCTCATTGTCCACTAATTTCATTTCTCTTCAATTCTATTACAAATTTTATTTCTCTTCAATTCTATTACTCGCTTGGGGTTATGATTCTAATTCGAAATCCGGTGGATGCGTAAAACTTTTGATATTTTGATAATTTTTAATTTTGATTTTTATATTTTTGTATGTATGGTATTTCAATATTTTTTTCATTTCTAATTGTGTTTTTCTTTGATGGGCTCAGAAGCCCAATTCACTGTAGTAGTGGGTCATGGGCCAATTTGAATGATCATTTTTTTTTTTGTTATTTACTGTATGGACTAGACCGGGCATGGGCCGGTCCAGTCCCTCTGAATCATTTGAACCGTGACCTACTTTTCCATCCGCTACTGCGGTAGAGCCGGCCGCCCATTGCACAATGTGTTAATTTTGAGATACCGAAAATGCCCCGATTCCAATTGCTCCTGATTGCGCCATAGATAAGGGCAAATAGGTAATTGCACCTCCGAAAAATCTCCGACATAAGCCCTAGCAATCTGCAATAAGAATCCTTCCGCTTTTAAAGCCTCTCAACTCTGCCCCGTTCCCTTCTTGCCTTTTTCTCGCCGCGGCTGCTGCTTGGATTTCTGGAGAATTCCTCTCCTTTTGTCGTGAATTTGTGTTGAAGAAGGTCAGATCTTTTCTATTCTTACCTATGGGTTGAATAGATTTGATTTTGTTTGTGTTTTTTTTTTTTTTGCTCGGTGAACTATTGAGTTTTGATTATGTTCTCTGTTTGATGCGAATCGCCGTTTGAGAAGCTTGTGTTTGAATTGTTTTGATATCCACTTTCGATTTATTATGTCTGATTATCCATTTATGTTGTGTGTTCTTCCATCGATTCTTACGGTACTTGTATGTGTGTTGGATGATCATGATTATGGCTTGTTTGCGAATCGACGATTTCAGTTATTATTGTAATTCCAGATCTGTGGCGGCAGCCGCCGTTTCTCGAATCTGGTTGAGGAACAATCTCTTTTAGATTAGTTTTGAAGATATGGTTCTTAGAATTCTTTATTTGTGATTTTTACTGGTTGTCTTCCTTTGTATTGTTGAAGGAACGAAATTAATTGAGTGATGGATATTATCATAACATTTTTGTTTACCTCGGAATGATGTTCTGCGTCAGTAGTTTCTAATTTATATTTTGCTCTGTTGCAGGTTTGAATCTTAAGCCATGGGTAAGGAAAAGGTTCACATTAACATTGTGGTCATCGGTCATGTCGACTCCGGAAAGTCAACCACCACAGGACATCTTATCTACAAGCTTGGAGGCATCGACAAGCGTGTGATCGAGAGGTTTGAAAAGGAAGCTGCTGAGATGAACAAGAGGTCGTTCAAGTATGCTTGGGTGTTGGACAAGCTGAAGGCCGAGCGCGAGCGTGGAATCACCATCGATATTGCCTTGTGGAAGTTTGAGACGACCAAGTACTACTGCACCGTCATTGACGCTCCTGGACATCGCGACTTTATCAAGAACATGATTACTGGAACTTCACAGGCTGACTGTGCTGTGCTCATTATCGATTCCACCACTGGTGGTTTTGAGGCCGGTATTTCCAAGGATGGGCAGACCCGTGAGCATGCTTTGCTTGCTTTTACTCTCGGAGTCAAGCAAATGATTTGCTGCTGCAACAAGGCAAGTTAAATTTGGACATTTTTTAATTTGTAATTCTGTGTCATACTTGCATAACAATATCAATGATTTGCAGATGGATGCAACAACTCCAAAATACTCCAAGGCGAGGTACGATGAAATTGTTAAGGAAGTTTCTTCCTACCTAAAGAAGGTGGGATACAACCCCGACAAGATCCCATTTGTTCCCATCTCTGGTTTTGAGGGAGACAACATGATTGAAAGGTCAACCAACCTCGACTGGTACAAGGGACCGACTCTTCTAGAAGCACTGGACCAGGTGCAGGAGCCGAAGAGGCCATCTGACAAGCCTCTCCGACTCCCACTTCAGGATGTGTACAAGATCGGCGGCATTGGAACTGTCCCTGTCGGTCGTGTTGAGACAGGTGTCCTGAAGCCTGGCATGGTTGTGACCTTCGGCCCAACTGGCTTGACCACTGAAGTCAAGTCAGTCGAGATGCACCATGAAGCTTTGCAGGAGGCTCTTCCAGGAGACAACGTTGGGTTCAATGTTAAAAACGTCGCTGTTAAGGATCTGAAACGTGGGTTTGTTGCCTCGAACTCGAAGGACGACCCAGCAAAGGAAGCTGCCAGCTTCACCTCCCAGGTCATCATCATGAACCATCCCGGCCAGATCGGAAACGGATACGCCCCGGTGCTCGACTGCCACACCTCCCACATTGCAGTTAAGTTTGCCGAGCTTGTCACCAAGATCGACAGGCGTTCTGGAAAGGAGCTCGAGAAGGAGCCCAAGTTCCTGAAGAACGGTGACGCTGGAATGGTGAAGATGATTCCTACCAAGCCAATGGTGGTCGAGACTTTCTCCGAGTACCCGCCACTTGGGCGATTTGCTGTTCGCGACATGCGCCAGACGGTTGCTGTGGGTGTGATCAAGAATGTCGACAAGAAGGATCCGACGGGTGCTAAGGTCACCAAGGCTGCTGCCAAGAAGGGTGCCAAATGAAGTTTTCTACCGCTTTCAGGCAAGCAAGTTTATTGCTGTTTTAATATATTCCTTGGTCTTGTTTTCGGACATTTTTCGTATTTGTTGCTGTTGTGTTGTTTTCTTGCATGTTTTCAGAATTGGGTACTTGACCGGCGATGGCGACCGGTGACTTTGTGAACTCTGTTTAAATTTTGCGATGTGATAATCTTGTGTTTTCGTGTTTATTTGAATGTGTTAAGATTGAATTTGATTATACTCTGTTTAGAGCCTCAATCCCTTGTGAGCATGAATTGGCCTACATATTAGAACAAATACATTAGGTACGAATTTGAAATAAAATATTCATCCCATTTATTTTTTTTTAAAAAATATCAAATTAATCATTTATTTTTTATATTATACTAAAAATTATTTTACATTCAAAAAATTATGTTAATATTTATTTATATCATATTATACAACTATTAAATTCAAATCTCAATTCAAAATTTAAATTTCAGACAAACACACCCTCGAGTAAGTGACATACATTTATTTTTGAAAATTTTAGTTAAAAAGATAATAATAAATAATAAATGGATGAATGTAATAAAGTTAGTAAAATTTGTTGTAAATAAGTATTAATTAAAACTTTTTTAAAATTAGTAATACAATGAATTTAGTGAACAGTTTTTTATTTAATATTTGGTTATTGTATGTGCTTTTAGAAAAGAAATTTAACTAGATGTTTGGTAATATATTATTTATTTTATATTGTATATTTTGATAAATAGGGGAGTCAATAAGTTTGTCCACTTAAAATTTTTGGATATATGTGTTTTTAATATTAAGTATGATAAAATTTATTGATAATATAAAATATATATTTTGTATTAATTGTTTAATTTTATATTTTTGATAACATGAGAATCTGTAGCTGATTAAATAAATTTTCGGTCGAATTTAGACAAATCACACTAGGCAAATGATATATGGTAGGCAGGCTTTGAGGGCATTGGGTATCTAATGGTTACAAGTTCACTTCTTATGCCAGATAAATTTTTAGCAAATTTTTTGCAATTCAATATATCATACTATGTATATATATATATACACTCAATTATCACTTTTGTATTTTACATTAATTTGCAATTTTTGTATTTCGCACCTGGATTTTCGATAAGAGTTAGCTTTATATTTTGATGTTCTATTTTTACCTCCAACATATTTAGCTAACATTTATTTTTCATTTCTTATTTTCCAGTAAAATTTGTTTTTTAGGTAAAAAAATCACATCAATCTATGTACATATATCACATGAAGCAAGTAGTTCAATTTCAATTGTAAACATATATCTACACACAGAGAGTCAGTACACATTCAACAAACACAATATGGTTGTATTAGTTTGTAATTTTTAGCATAGATTTTTACTATTTAGATTCTTTTTCCCTTTCAAAAATATCACATAAACAATTATTTTTCTTTTTTCATATTATACTACAAATTTATTTTACATTCAAAATATCACACCAACCTCTATTTATATTACACAAAAAACTATTCAAATTCAACTTTTTACTGTTCAAAAATCCAAACCCAAGACCTAAAATCCACAAACAAACACACCCTATATGTTTTATGTTTTACTAGCACTGTTACTGTGGAAAACCAATTGATTACCATAACTGAAAGAAGAAATCAGCACAAGTACTTGGTGTAGTATAACCAAACAAAACTTCAACCAAAACAGCTATTATATATGATTTGAATGGTCACAAAAAAAATTGATTGTGCAAAGCTAATAATCAATTCTCATGGCTGTAGTGTAGAGAGAGAAGAGAGAGAGAGAGAGAGAGTATACGTCTGCTGTTTCAAACAAGTCAGCCAGCCAGGCAGCCACCAAGCATTTGACACCTTCCCTCAACCTTGTAAGGTAGGTTGAAGCCATAATGCAATTTGATTTAGCCACTTGAAGGCCAAAAGACAGATTCGAACGTGTCGAACTCAGTTGTATGGGTGAAATCACAACTCACCATCCTTGTCCTGCTGCGCCTTTGTAGCTGCCTTTTCAGTTTCTTCCAAAACAAATGTTTTGAGTGATTCGACATTCCTAGGACCTGTTGTCAACAGCACGGATAGACAATATGTTCAGACTTGCAAGTTCACGGATGCATTTTGAGACACACTATAAATTTAGAAAATGGCTTTGATAAAACTCACACATATAAATAGAGATGCACAAGTGATAAAGAATGAAATTACCATTGATCACGAGACATGAAAATATATTTGTGATAGTGGAGACATGAAATAGATTTTAGCACATTTTTTAATCGATCTATGCACTACACATAAGCAATTCACCTTTATTGTTCAAGCTGATCATCCTAATCGGAATTATACTTAACATTGGGCATAAAGAAATCAAGTTAGATTTGATAAAATTTTATATAATGATGTGAAACATAAACCATACTAATAAGTTACAACATTGAGCCCCTTTTGTGTAAGATTTATTATAATTGTTTTTCCATTACTTTGTGGGGTGTGTTCACTTTACAACTTTCTTTTCATTTCTTCTACTATTCAACCCTCAAAGTTCCTATAGAAACACATTATTTACTCTATAAAATATTACATGTAGATTTACAAACCACTATCAAACAAACAAAGAAAAAAAAGACAAAACCAACTAAACAGACTAGATATCTCTTACTTCATTTTCTAATGGAGCAAAATTATGACCCAAAGAGGTCTTAGAGCTCCAATTTTTTAGCAGGAAGTCGTGATTGAGATGCAAATTAGCCATGAAATAAGGTCTTTCCATTGTTGATTTTATTTTATTTTTGAAACAAAGTTATGAAAGCAACAAAAGCAAACTTTATAGTGAAGTGCAAAAGAATTTTTCAGGGTAAATTGTGCAATAGTACATCATACATAATACCATAGATGCATAGTTTATTGCTTTATCCACCCTCACATTAGCCACAATGGTGAATAAAATCCTTTTATATGTGCACAAAATCCTATCATTTTAGAAATTCTATGCACAATTTTCATAACATTAAGGTAATTTATGCAATAAAAGTTAGACACAATATTTTATAATTTATGTTAAGCACAAATATCATATATGTGTTTTACAGCCAGATATCTAACACAGAATTTTGTAGTTTTTGCCATCAGTGAATTGAAACATTAAGAATTAAGAAATCGCAAATGTCAGTTCACATCCTTGAGGGATGGGGATTGAGCAATAATACATGTGGATTAAGTATATAATTAAGAAAAAAAAAATATTGCAAATGTCCTTCGAAATCATCAAAATTAATTTTAAACTAAGTCATCATTTTGGATAAGGAAATCACATTTTTTTTTATTTATTTATTTTTTTATGGCTATTTAGGGTGTGTTTGTTTGGGAAATTGGATTTTAAATACACTATTCATCCCATTTTTTTTTTTTCCAAAAAACATCAAATCAAACACCTATTTTTCATTTTTTATATTATACTAAAAATCAATTTTACATTCAAAACATCGCATCAACACTTATTTATATCACATCATGTTGTTTCCATTGCGTGGGATTTTTGCAATGTTACTTTGTCAAGTAGCATTGCGGGCTTTATAGTGGCTAATGTGATCCGCCATGCTGGAAGGTTGAAGCTTTTTGGTTCACTTGGGGTCAATTTAATTGGAATATTGAAATGCCTATCTTAAAATGGATAGATACAACACTCTTTGATGCAATGGAGCCACATCAAGTCATAAAGTTAACTGCAGCCATAAGGCCATTGTTGTGCTTTGATGCATTAGAAACCTTATCTAGCTTAATTTCCTCAATTCATAATTGTACTTGCTACTTATTTTTCAGTTTAATTGGCTTAATTCGGTTTCAATCAAGTGCAGGAAACGCTGGAACAGACCTAAGCAAGATCAGGGTTGTTTGAGTGAGATCAAGTTCACTAAACTGCCCCAGTTATGACCCAACACTAACTTGATGCTGATTTGCTGCACATTGCAAGATCAGCTGAAGCTGATTTCTCTAGTTTGATTCTTGGCTTACTTAGACTTTAATTAGGTTAATTACTGTTAATGGTTGGCCCGTGAGTTATTTCTTTATTATTTTGGTTCTTGTGAAGAACAACTAGATTTATAATAATCGTACAATGTTTTATTCAATTTGTCTATAAAAGTGAAATATAAACTCTTAACAATTAAACAAATGCATACAGTTTTATCATATTAAATATGCTCAATTTACAAATATGATTTGATTTCATCTAAGGAAAACCATTTTTATTAAATCAAATATAAATCAGAACAATTGCATTTGTTCAATCTTGTCTAATTATACATACATCAAGGACACTATAACTCAATTGAAAACCCTCTTCTGTTTCATTTTAATTCTTCCTGAAATTTCAATGCTTGCTTTATTATGGATATTATTAGATAAACGCTACAATGCAACTTTAGCATATATTTCTTATGAGTGGCATCCTATCTCACATTGTAAAGCAGAGCTCATTATGAAAAAAAAAGAAAGGAAATATTCTCATGAGGCAAACAAAAATATGTTACCTTGATACTTCGTAACTTCTTCTCCGTTATAAAATAACTTGAATGTTGGATAAGAATGTATATCTACTTTTGAACACACTGGCTTATTTGTTGCACAGTCAACCTCTCCAATCTCAATCTCATCTTCACCTTCCATTTCCTTCCCCATATCCTCCCATAATGTTCCCAAGTTTTTGCTGAAAAACAAATTTAACCACAATTATAAAGCAAGTAAACTTGAACTTGCAAGCAAAACTTATCATAAAATAAAAATACAAGATGAGGACCAGAAGTGATCTTTACCAATGCTTGCACCAAGGGACACAAAACTTGACGAACCATGCCGTATCTTTCTCCTGCACCTAAATATGAAATACACAAACCTCAAAAAAAATCTCGAGCATACATATCTATACAAGCTAAAGAAGAATCTGAGTTCAGGTCATCTCACTTCATAAATTATTTTCTCCCACTATTTCCTCAAAGCAAAAGCTACAGTATGATCTAGCATATAACGATAGAATTTAAGAAAAACTGCAACATTAAATTACCTTATACTACTAAAGATCTCAATAGCATATATCACACAATCCCAAACCCTAGATAATATTTTCCATTCAAAGTACCTAAAACAAAATTATCAAAAGAAATAGAAGTAGAAATATTGAATCTTCAACAAAACCCTCAAACCAAGCTGCTCCAAATTCATTAATTCACGAGCGCAAGAAGCCCATTTTATAACTTGAGATCTAACCAAACTCTGCTTGTGTAGATTCAATTCAATCCACGAGAGCGCACCACCACCACTCAATATACTTGCAACAGGGAAATCTACAATGAATTTACCTTGTCGTTAAACGTTTCGGCGGTTAAGGTTATGACTTCAGCTCCTACCGAAGAATTGTTCATCAAATTCAGCAGTAGAACGGCGGGTAAAATTAACAATAGGAGGGAGAGGGAGGGAGTTTTGAACCGACGCAGCATCTCGAGCCACAGAACGCGGTGATCAGTGATCGTCAGAAGCAGGGAAGTCGCAGAGGACAGCAGTCCGGACGGAATGAGAAGAGAGACCCCTAATTTTAATTTTAATTTTCTGCTTGGTTGTTTTTTTTAAAATTGATTTGAAATATTATCTCATATCTCTTTTTTTTATTATTTTTTTTATTTTCAATATTAATTATTATATTGTGAATTAAATATCTTAAATACAAATATAAATATTTTTAATGTTAAATATCTTACAATTTATGTTTTATGTAGAATTGATATTTTAATTTTGCAATTTTGAATTTATGATGTACTCAGATCTATTTTATTTGTGCATTGCATTGCATTGAGTTTGGTGTCTGGCTCTTTCGTATTGTTTCACACTATCAAGTCAAATATGAGTTATTTTTATATATTTGAAATTATAAATGATCATGTTATTTATAAAATAGCTTCATTTGCAATTTTGTTGATTTATATTTGTAATAAAATAATTTATATGTGAGGTGGTAGAGTTAGTTTTTTTTTTTCATATGCCGTAAGCAAATATTTTTCATGTGAAATGAGTTTTGAAGTACCGAATAAGTGGATGTCTCTATCATAGTAACAGTTGTAAATTAATGCAAAAATTTGTTCGGTTTTTTTTTTTTTTTTTTTGGTGAATGTTTTCAATTGTCTTTGGTGTGCCGTGTTTGTTGTTTTACATGTCTCATCTAGAACATTACACACCTCCGTAATTATGTCATAAAATTTGAATCAATATTAGATTTTTATGAAGACATATTTTTGTTCCAAATGATGACAGATTAAAAAAAAATACAAAAGATTTACTTCCAAATTTGCTATCATTTTTTTTTTACATACAAATATGACTAAATTAAAAGTTGGGATGAACAAAAAATAATTGAAAACTATTTGTCAATATGTTTATTAAGAAATATAAACGATAACAGTATATGTGTGATAACTATTTTTTCTATAAAAGTAATAATTTTGTTATAATAAAAACCAATAAGGTAATCATAAAAGTCATAAAGTGACCGATTAAGATGCTCTTAGGGTGTGTTTGTTTGAAAAGTTATAGAGGAATTTGTACTATTCATTCAAATTTTTTTCATAAAAACATCGAATCAAACATTTATTTTTTATTTTTTATATTATACTAAAAATTAATTTTACATTCAAAACATAGCATTAATACTTATTTATATCCCGTCATAAACTATTCCAATTTAATTTTTTTCCTATTAAAATCCTAATCCAAAATCCAAACCCAAAACAAACAAACACATCCATTCGAGTACAAAATGAAAAGGGGAAGGATGCAAAATTTGTGACCGTTGGAAATTGGAATGTAATATATATATATATATAAATTAAACAAAAATGAAAATTGAGACCGTTGGAAATTGGAAGGTGATATAAAAAAAACAAAATTAATAATTAGTAAATAAAATTTGAGACCGTTGAAGGCAAAGCTTCGACCCGAAGTTTCCTACACGATCCGTTACTTCCCTCGCCCATCGGCGTCGGCGACGGTGGCTGCAACCGTCACTGCCCCCAACCCCCAACACCATGACCTCCACACCTCCCCACTCCTCTCCCTCCCACAATTCAGCTTTCAGAACCGCTGAAATCCCAATTGAGATCATCCCCGAAGAGGAAATGGCACTCATTGAAGCTGCCCTCGCCGCCGCCGCCGCCGCTATGCCTTCTGCTCCGGTTTGCCGGAATGCCAAATCGATTCGTTCAATTACTCTAATGTCCAAGCGCGGATTATCGGCGTGCACGGATAACCGGTCGTCTGATATCGAGGACTGCGGCCGCGTCGTCGGATCGAATAGCCCTAATAAGAGTAAGAAAATTAGGGAATCGGAACCGTTGCTCTATCGGTTCCGGAGAGGAAGAGGTCTATCCGTTACTGACCTTACCGCCACGGTAATTTAAAATTCCTAGGGTTTATAGATTTCTATGGTGTAAATTTTAGTGGCGGAATTTTACATGATTAAGTTTCAATTAGGGATCGGAGGGGAAATGATTATGTGTTTGTTTGTGGTGAATTGAATTGAATTTTTGCTAGCTTACACTATACATTCTCCTGTAGATGATCTTATAGTGACGTTATTTATTTTGTTGTCTTGAATATTTATTCCAGAAGGGCTTATTCGACCTACAAGTAATCTGAGCTGCCGGATAGGTATTTTAAAAATGTTGAAAAACATACAGATATACCGAAATCAGTACCACATATGTTACCAAAATCTTGATATATTCAGCACTTTTTTAGTGGTATAATACACTTTTCTGTATACCGAAATATAGTTATTTTCAGTTTATTTTGGTAATTCAGTATTTATGATTTACAAATCAATGATTTTATGTTGTGATTGTGAGGCTGCAGCATTGATGTCTTTCTGGTTTTTCTTGCTTACAAATTTGTTCTGCTACTATTTTTTTTTTTTGATTTTGTGTTTGAATAGTAAAGTCTAATTGTTTGACGTGATGTAAATATAATTGATTTATATAATATATTTTTTTTGTTTGCAATTCTATTCTTTTCTCTGTAAGAAATACACCCTAGATAGCTTAGATGGAGAATTCATCGTATGTTTTTTGTTTTTTTGCTTTAAGGCTAACAAAGCCCGTTAAGTGCTTTCACTATTATCAGTCTTGTATTAAAAAGGTATCTTAATTTTAGCTATATTCTTGTTTAGGAATGGTGTGAAAAGCAAATGGAATACACCTTATTCTTTGGCAAACCCAAGGCTACAAAAGTTATGCTAGCAGGGAGCGCCCGTCATGCAGTTTTGGAAGAGGAGGTATGCCCCGAAACTCTTATTTTAACAAGCATCACTATCTTGTTGCTTTAAAAATTTGAATTTATATGCTGAAAATGAGAAAATTGAATTGTATGATTACTTTTAGCTTTAGGAACATCTAGCTGTGGATGCTTTGATTTTTTAATGTAGCTTCCTTATGAATTATGACTGTATAAAATTCTGATGCGCATGTCTAAATTTGGTGTGCAATTGCAAAATCTATGCAAGCGTGTTTTGTTTGGTATAAAGAGAGACTTAGAGTGTTCATTTTTGTAGTTCAATTCCAAGGGGCAGTGGCTCGAGCAGAGTGAGTTAAGTGAGAGCCGCTGTCCATTGTGGCTACACCAGATTTCGGTAGGATAGGAATTGGGTTAGGTATGGTGCAAGTTACTTTAACTTTTATCGAAGGAACCGAATTTGATGTTGTTTTGATATATACATGATGAAAACTTATAAACCTAACTGCCGTGAATTCATAAAAATGCTAGTGAGGAGTTAACCCTCATAAATATCTTCTTCGTTGATTTTTACCTTTTTATTCTCTATTTTGTGTTTATTATTCAACATTGGGCGTGATATTTTGTGCTTAGTAACTTGCTATCTACTCTCTCTCTCTTGAGTAATTTTATATTTTGTTGTATGCTCGGACATTATGACATTTCTTATGATTGTGGACAGGTGATACAAAGGGTAAAAGTTAATGTTGAATCGGCTGAAGATGTTTGGGCACTTAAACTTATGAATTTTATTGTTGGTGCAAACCAGCTATTGTTTGATGGGTTAACACGTGAGTTACCTTTGTAAGTATGTCGAATTTATTATTTACTTCTACAACTAGATAGATGTGATTATTGCTGTAGGAATTAAATATGAATAAGTATGCAGTGATTTATTTTTCTATAAACGAAAGCTTTTAGGCAGTATGATCATTTAAATTGGTATGAGAATGGGAAGATTCCATGTTCGATTAGCACCGTCACTCATTAATGAACAAGTGTCACATATTAAGGCTAGAAAGAATGCTTCCGGCATGCAAGTTTAAGGTGTTAAATATGAATTTTTACAATATGATGATTTTTTGGATGAGAGGGTCATTTAATTTCCAGAATATACCTACCCACAATCACTTAGTGATTTTTGTAGGGCAATGTTTCTTCAGATGATGTAATAATTCTTTTATCGGAAGTCACTTAGAATTTAATATTCCATAATTGGGTAATCTTTATGACAGCAGTTTGGGAGGATGAAGACCACAAAGTGGTATCATATAATCCTTGAAAGTAATCACATCCTTATTGCTATATTGCTTTGATATTATATATGACTTTTATCAAATGCAGTTTGTTTTCAATCTTTGATGTTACTGCATAATAATATTGCTGTCTTTTCTGTATTACTTTCCCCGGTTCCGTTACTATCGTGGGCTTTATGCAATCGATTGGATGATTTTGATATTCAAATAATATCTATTATACGCTTGCTGATAACATGTATATTATTAACTTAATGTGGCTTCAGGGTAGGTTTGGTTGAAGGTGTATGGATGGTTGGAATGCTAGACGAAGTGCGGATGTCCCAAACAGAAAGAATTCCAGTATTAGTTGACACTAAAACTCGGGGAAAACCAACACTTCCACGTGAACCACAAAAGAGAAACGGAAGGTATATGAGTTTGTTTAGTTTTGATTTGAAATTGATTTTTTAATTTTGAGTTGAGTTTAAATAGTTTTTTGATGTAGAAACCAGACACACCGAACTGGTTTTGATTTTGCACCTTACGATCAATTTGTTTCATTTTCTTCCACAGGCTCCAGTTGATGTGCTACAAGTACATGTGGGACAGTTTAGTCACTAATAAATTTCCCTCGCAAAAGTTTTTCGATTTCTTTTCATTGAATCCCAATAAAATTTTATCCCAGAAAATTAGAGAGAATGCAGCAGGATCTGGTTTTGCTTCAGAGGTAAACAGATTTCTCAACGCTTCGGTTTCAATTCTACGTTATGGTTTGAATTTCATATTGTAATTTATGCTTTTCTTTTACGGCATTCAGACTCTCATCGATGTGGTAAGATATTTCGGAAACAGTTGTTGTTTGCTGCCTCAAGCTCACGACAGGCTACTCCTGAGGTGAGCTTATAATGCAACTGGTAATGGCTACCGTTCTTTCTTAACTTTTGGCATTTTGGTTATGAATTGGTTTCACTGTGCTAATACATTTATGTTTCTATTAGAAGTATTGAAAACTAGAAGGGACACACATTTGGTTCTTTCTTGCATGTATTTTTTTATGTTAGATACGAAGAAGCATGTAAGTTATAAAAAATAATACTCTTTCCGTCTAGCCAAAAAGTAAATACTGCCTCCGTCTGCTAAAATTAGAGTATTTGGGTCCGGCACGGAGATTAAGAAAAATAAATATTTTATTAAAAAAGTAATAAAAGTAAAAAGATAGTTAAGTGTATCATGGAAATTTAGTTAAAAATGAAAGAAATAAAGAGAGATAATGTAATAAAAGTAGTGGCATTAGATGTAAATAAATGTAGAATGAACGATAATAGTTTTAAATGTTTGATTTGTTGATTTGACCAAAATTAGTAATGGGGCAAATTTAGTGGACTAAGTAGAAAGGAAAGTGAGTAAATTTAGTGGACAAATTAATAAATGTATTTTTGTTATTTTCTCTTAATTTATACTACATTATGATATAGTAATAATTAATATTAAAAAATCGTATATTTTCTGGTTGGACAGAGATAGTATTTTATGTTTAATTGTTGTCATTTCCGAAGCATGTTTTTTAATGAGATAATAGCTCTAAGTTCAATACTGCCGCTAGTTCTTCCACATATGTTCCTTTTGTTATAGACGACAATGTTCTTTTGGTACACAGATACGAGCTACAAGAAGATCAATCCTTACTAGGCGAAGACGAGTTCCCTTATGAGCTCGACTGGCTCAAGGATAAAATCAAGTCTTCTCACGACTTTTGGCTGGGGAAAAGGGAAGCTGAGTACGCTCCAATCGAGGAGCGCTGGAAATGCGGATATTGCACATTCAGCAGTGCATGTCCAGCAAATTCCATCCCACCTGGTTCACCGAGCAAGACAGTGATCGAATACACTCAGCAAGACAGAGATCAAAGCCACTAATTCCAACTGTTCATGTCCGGAGAACAACAACCCTTGACAAAGTTGGATGACATTTAGTATCCATGGCTGTGTGTTTTTATTATATATACAAGTTGGTTATATGTCCAATGTGAGATCATTATTGTTGTTGTAAAATGTTAACCATTCTATTTATATATATTATGTCAATGATTTGTATACCAATAAACAAATGTAAATGTCAATGATCTTTCTCTAATGATATTGTTGTTTGAGTATATAGATATGCATATAGTCAGTAACATTCTTTACAGGTTTAGAGATTTGGGGTAGGATTTTGGAGTTGCCAAACACAATTTGGTGTCATTATTTTGTACCCTTTATTCTTGTTTTGTTCATTATACTCGTCATTTCCTTGCCAAGGAAGAACCAAAAACACTTATAATTATATATATATATATATATAACATTAAAAATAAATATATATAATATTTTATATTTTTTAGAATTAATAATAATGCTAATGTTACGGAATATTAATATTTTAATATATTACCACATTATAAGTTAACTTACATAACAAAATATATATATTTAATAAATTTTTAATTGATTATATTAAATTATTCACTTGTATGTGTATATATATAAATTAATATTTTTAAAATAACATAAATATTGAATGTGATATTTTAAATACATAGTAATATTTATGTATGATTTTATATTTTATTTTATATATATATATATATATGTATAAATGATTTTAATAATGATAAGATCCAAAAAGAAGTCATCTCTACCAAAGATCTTACTAGGGATGCTTTCATTAAAGCACTAAATGGATTACAAATCAATCGGTATTTGTAATGCTCGGCATGATAAACATATACACGGTATAATCAACATATACACAAAACTTATAGGTCTCTCGTTTCAATTCCTTAATAAAACCAAATAAACATTTGGGATCTTTGCTGTAAATCTACTAATTATTAGTTAGCACTTAGCAGGCAGCATCGACACATAAAACTGCGCACACAAAAGTACACACATAGAGAAAGTAGAGTTCAAAAAGCTAAATTATTAATCAAATTCTGTCGGCACAAAAGGAAAGGAGACAACAAGCAATATATGGAAGCAGCAATAAACGAGCGCCACAGGGATGATTATATTTAGGCAATCCGAGAAACAAGAAACTGGAAACACAAATTGGTTCTTAAACTTTTTATTTCAAAATAGAACAAGATTGAAGTTGAGGATGGCACCTTACATGTGGCTCCAAGAATTGCAGCATCAAGTCAATCTTAGTAGCCGTAGCCCCAGTAATCATTACGAATTTCATCATCAAACTTCTTCTTTAGCTCTGGATGCTTCTCGAAGTACTCATCAGCTGTCATGGTACTGAGCTTCTTCTGTTGCACAGAAAGAGAGGGGCAGCGAGTGAGAGGGGGTATGGTATTTACTGTAAAACTTAGAACATGGCAGACAGAGTAACTTAAAATTACCTTCAACTCTTGGACCTCTGCAATTTCTTTCTCTAATCTTTCCGACTCCTTCAATGATGTCTGCTCAGCTTCTTTCAACTCTACCAACTGTAACTCACGAATCGATAAATTAGGAAAAGGTAAAATGATGAGATATTAAACCATCAGAATCAGTTCATGATTTTCAACAGCAATAGATCCAATAAAACAAAGATCACACACTATATTGGTTTCTGGTGCAAAAAGATGATAAGTATGGGAAAGCCCCATTGATAAAAGTTCCGCAAAAAGTAACTCTTAATAGCTACTTCAAAACATATTGTTTTGGAATATCAGTGCGCCTCACGATGCTGGATGCACGAATTATGTATTATTTCTACCTCTAATCAAGGCAATCCAAGGGAGAAGTGTGCATAAAAACAACAAAAATCCTTCATTTTCCTCACCAGAGCATCAAACTTGGGTTTGTACTGAGGGGTCACAGTGTCAACATACTGTGGAATTTTGATCTCTGCAATAAATCAGGGAATAAAAAATCAAATAAGGTGACGAAAAAACAGCACATATACAGATTTTATATTCATAGCAAAGCTTACCAAATTCTTGAATAGATTAGTATGCTGAGGCATTTTAGTACGTGATGCATTTAAGTTCCCAATAGCTATTACTAAATTTAGTATAACATAACAGCAGCGCAATCCCAAAAATGAGGAATATGCACATCCCGTTCAATGGCTTGCCCAATAACATATACTAATGTTAATAATACTAAAGAATACCACTGACAGCCAATTTTAGCCAAGTTTGCTGCATAGTGTTCCTAAGATTTGGACAAGGATAATATTTAACTTCAAAAACCTGAACAGATAATATATGAATTTAGAAACTTACTACTAAATAATATAGGAACATAATACATTTGACACAGAGCACGGAAACATATGAAGGAAGAGACAAGGAAAAGAGAGTGCACACCGTCGTAAGCCTGCTTGTACATATCAACCAAGCGAGATCCAAGTCCTTTCCGATAATATTCCCAATCTATTGGCTCTGGTTCCTTCATATTATTCAAGAAGAATAGTAAAAAGTTCAATAAATATAATTAGCATATAAATTAAACAGTGACAGAGTCGGATAGTAAAAATTTTGAATTTGAATAGTTGTACGATGTGATATAAATATATATTGATGTTATGGTTTGAATGTAAAATTAATTTTTAGTATATTATATAAAATGAAAAATAGGTGTTTGAATTGATATTTTTTTGAATTTTTTTTTTATGAATAATATAAATGTCATAATTTTTATAAACGCACACACTTAATTACTTTAAACCAGAAGCTGGTAGAATGAGACATCTTTAATGCTTAGTACCCTCAAACTATTAATTTTCAGCTTGATAACTGTTTTTTTTTTTTTTTTTTAATACTAGTATAAGTAGTATTTGTTTAGTTCAGTAATTTTAATTAATAATTTTATACATATGATATAACTGAAAAAACAATATAATTGTATACATTTATTTTTCATATTACCTAGATATAAAAATGTAAATAGATTAAAACATAAATTTCTCAATATAAATAACGTTCTTTAATATATTATACAATATATGATATGTATAGATTAATATCAATAATATTTTTCATATATTAAGCTATAGAGAAATGAAAATTAAAAAAATAAAAATGATCACGTATTATATATGTCCTTTATAATCATCATTTATAAAATTTAAACATTCAATATTTTACCCGTCCAAAATTCCAAATACTTCTAAGAAAACTGTAATCTTAATGGTCAATCCAAATGCTTCTGTCTTCTTACTTTACCTTTGACATCTATATTATTTTCTTATAAGGCAATTCATAGGACCTATCTACGGTTAAAGCCTACTATACATGGTCTACATAGTAACAATTACTGTAATTTATACATGACATCAGATCAAAGTAGCTTGCATTTGTCTTCTGATAATGACATATTAGTTTAAAAGAAAGGTTCAAGCACTAAAATTTAGGAAGGAAACCTACGTGAGTGTGAGGGAACATGCTGAAAGAATTCAAAATATGACGAAGGAACTCATATCCCACATCAAATACATAATAGTGTGTGAATTAAGTTCACCATTAGGATCGAATTCGAAGCCCTAAAATATAAAATCCATGGAATTATGTATGGTTAGACCTACTATAAATATGATCAACTGAATAACCATAACTAAGATACTATACACTTGTACAAAACAGACGAGTCCTAATTTAGAGGCATAAACATCTATTCTTATCAACAAGGAAATGGTCCAGTTCAATTATGTATTTAGGCACAGACAGGTATTTGATTATGCATATTCCATCACGTGGCTCAAAAGACCAACAAATTACAGTACCGCATGCCCAGCAATGAAAGACATCAATATATTTCTTATGCGGTAAAATAAGAAATGGAAATGTCCACTATTAGGGACCACGAACAATGCAACTCCATCCGTGTTACAAGGTGATTACGACATGAAAAAAATCTGGAAATAAATGGACTACATATCCAAAGCCATTAAACCCAGGTCATCCATCCTTTATATATGAATACATATAAAAATAAATGAAAATTTAAAAAAGCTCTGAAGCTTTCTAATGTAGCCCAAATTTAATCGCTATATATATATATATTTTTTTTTTTAAAAAAAAAGAAGCCAAGATACAAACTTAAGCACTCAACGGATGATATTGTCCATAATCATCGCATCTTCAAAGTCATCCAAACAGAAAACATACCCAGCACCAATAACTTCTTGAGGGGAATAGAAATGTAAAAATTAAATTAAATCTCCAAAACACCAAACAATACAAACCAAAAAAAGATATGAAACAAATCAAGAAAAACAAATTCTACAGAAATCCCCTACAAGGCTACAGCCGATATCGGAGAGCTCAAAGCACAAGTTAATCGCGCGATAATTCAATCGCCATAAAATTCAAAGTAAAATGAGGCAAAATTTGAAATCAAACAACAGACCTGGCTAAATTTCGTCTGAAGCTGTGTGTTGACATCATCGAATGCTCGGCGGAGGGTGTTGAACTCCTTGCGAGCCTCATCGGAGACCAGAAGCTTCGCCATTCCTTCCCAATCAATGTTCTTCCCCGCCTTGAATGTAACATCCGCAATCTTCTTCCCGGCTCCGCTCATTTTCCCTGTCGGCGATTCAATCGATCTGCGAAATCAGAGTGAAAGAGCAGTTGGCAATTCGTAGAGCGACCTAAAAGCCGCTGCTCCAACCAATAGAGCATATATATTATAAGCGTGTTTAGCTTGAAATGCGACTCTCCTTTTGTTTTTAGCATATTCGGCGTTCCCGTACGCAAAGCGTGTTTTTATTTTTGCGCTTCTTTTTGTTTAGTTATTTATTCCCAGGAAATGCGACTCATATTTTATATATAGTCCTCCTTCTTCTTTCTTTATTATTATTATTATTATTATTATTATTTATTTATTTTTTATTTAGATTTTTACTACACCTACTTGGATTATAAAAAATACTTCCGACTTTAATGTATATTAGTATTAAAAATAAAGTAGAAATTAGTAAAATAATATTATTAATATTATATAATATAAAAATAATAATATTTGTATAATATATTATAAATTTTAAATGCATATATAATGTTAAATAGACACTAAAGTTACTAAAAAAAATAAAATAAATACTTTTATTATATAAGATGTACCAAAAAAAAAATGAATAGTTTGATAAAGACGGAGGGATTATAATAATTTTATAAAATATCATTGATTATTATTTAAATAAAAAAATTTAGTTTGAAACTCCATCTGAGTTAAAAATGTCATCAAAGCACTAATTTTCTCTACAGATCTCCAAATGCATTGCTATGGCATGAACCAAAATTACACGGGCAATTTCTTTTACAAGGAATGGCTTGCAACATGAATTGATATTTCAATTAATAAAAAAAAGACACAATTCTTAGTTCCATATAATTGAACACAAATCATAGATAATAAATACTACCTCCGTCCTACGACCATGTCTGGGATGTAATTAGTAAATAATTAATAATATATTAATAAAAATAATTATCTTATAATATAAATAATTATAAATTTAAAAAATAAATAAAATTAAAAGGTTTAAAATGAGATTAAAATGTGTAATTATTTTCCAAAAAAAAGAAAAGTGACGTGGTATGTGGGACGGCAACGTGGACATGGTATGTGGGACGGAGGGAGTATTACCTAAATTATTGAAGGATTAGCCCGTACAATGTAAGAACAACATATAGATTGTAGCAATCAAGCAAATCATATACATTACAATTGGCTAAGAAGACATCATATATCACTCACCGGGCTTTTGGAGCTCGCCAGGGATTAGCTTGAGGACAGAACTCGTCGACATGTAAGGTTTACTTGCCTGGCTACATTAGAACAAATCATCAGGATGAAAAACGTGAAACGAATAATACTCCAAAGACCAAAAAGATTGGGAATCAAGAACTGCAGAATATCCGATTAGAAGCAAGCCTAATGACAAGCAGTAAGCAACAAAGAACTTTCTACGTCACCTTACAGGTTCACAATAGTGAGAATTGCACCTTAAGAATCATCCTCAAAAGAATTGGCTTTGTAAAACTCGTTCTTCATGCCTGTATGCGCTCACGAGCAACAAAACCCCATAGTAGTGGACACTAAATGAAAAGCTGCAAGCAGTTTTATAAATATACACCATGAACAGTACGTAGATTCTTTGTAACTATGGCTGCTGCTGTTTGGGCAAACTAGCCGATCCGAAAGCAGCAAAAGGCATTTGTCCCCAACAACACTAATCCCTTATAATCCAAAATCAAGTGCTCAACTATGAGTAATCTAAATGTTGTCTGTTTAGTGATACAATTTCACTGTGTAGTCATCCTCATTGACTATGTTAAATATCAAAGTGAAGTGCGTAAATTTACAATGCAGGATGGTGCCAGAAAATTAAATGAGTCCCATAGAAGTATTCCAGAGGAAATTAACAACAAAATCAATCTTTCTCAACCACAGCAAGGATATTAAAAAAAAATTGAACCATTCGTCGTACTGTAGCATATCTTAAACACAAGTGAACTCCCATCGAGCATAGCAAACAGATGATGCCAGCCTTCTGAGATGACGTAACTTCGCATTGTAAATTGTGGTGCTAAATTAAGATCTCAAGTTATATAAATATGTTCGCGTATTAAGACAGAAAACATTCACTTTGCACGAAAAAGGCACACGCTGCAATATACTGCCGAATAGAAATTATGTAAGCATGTCCTACAACATCAAATTTAGCCATAGTGCATACAAAATCAAGATCGAAATGATTTCACATTTGGATGAGAAAAAAAAACACGGCACAAGTCATTTGCAAAATAGATTCCATGTATATAAAGTCGTAGTGTTCTTGCAACCTAATCTTGACGCATTTATACTATATACTAAAGTTGCAAGCTAGAACTAAACAATGCATCAATAATCTGCATATTTGCTTCAATCTATAGAAGTTAAAGAATCCTTACATCCTTATAACCTTGAGGTATCATGGATTGAACCAAACCCATCCATTTTATTGGGTAAACGAATCCGTATATCCTAGAAGCTTCCGAACAATACAGATAGGACGCGCAACAATCAAGAATTCACCTTAATTTGCCTCGATCCGGTTTCCGGGGTCAACAAACCTAATCCATCTTTCTTACCCCTGTTCACATAAGCATGATACCCTTTCCAATACGTAGGGTTGGATGTCAAAACCCTAAGCTCAGAGTTTTCATTGATCTCCAAAACCTCGGGGAACTTATTACCGCATTCCTTCGACATCCCTACATCAATCCTTATTGCTCGGTTGGCACATACAGCATTAATACCTTCTTGCTGTATAGTATGTCCCATGATCAACCTCTTCACTCCAGGAATCGTCTCGAGCACGTGCTCCAGCATCGAGCAATCACAGTCCTTAGCCTGCTCATTCGAGAAGCTCCTCATCCAAACAATGGAACTCCTCCCGCGCACCAAATAATTCGCAACACGCTTATTTACGCCAAGAATCCAATCCCTAACCTCCTCATTGATCCGGTCAAAACCGTGGACCACATGTTTCTGTAAGAGCCCGCCATGAGCAAACACAGAGTCTCCTACCACGACCACTGTCTGGTTCTTCGACAAGAATCTTGTTGCAACCAATCCATTCGGCCGCAGAGCGGCAAATCGAGCCCTGGCAGCGTTCAAGAAGTCCGGACGAACTCCAGGAATCTCATCGGGAACTCCATCCAATAAATCCCTAGAAATCGTATTTCCATCGATACCATTGCACATTTTCTTCATAGCATTCCCAACGCGTTGCCACATTAACCAATTTTCAAACTCCTTCAAACCACTCGGAGTAGCGTACCGAAAATCCCCATCCACATTCATGATTTCGTGGTTTCCATTTAGGGTTATGACTTGACCTCCGGCTTTAGCAGCCTCTCGCTTCAATTTCTCGAAGAAATACAGCAGTTTAATCTCATCCCCGCCGCGATCGAGAATATCCCCAACCTGGACAACGGTGGCGGAGCCTCCACACCACCGGTCGCCCGGTCCAATCAAATTGGCGAGCAGCAACGCCTCCTTAGCCTTACGAAGGTCTCCATGGATGTCTCCGATGGCAATGAGACGGCTGGGCTGAGGAAAAACCGTCCGCAGTTCTCCTTTCGAGTTCTCAATCGATTCCGGTTCCGGAGGCAAGAAAAGGCCGCCGCTGACGGAGAAATCAACGAAAGTATCGACGAATGAGGATACGATGGAAGGAAGATCACCGCAATCGATGGCGGAGGCTACGCCACGTGATGTTAGGGATTCCGTAAGTGATGGGGTGTGGTTTCCACTTCCAAGGTGTTCGGCCATGGCGTACTGACGGAGGAGGAAGAGGGGAACGGGTTTTGACGGATGGATGACTAATTAGGGCCGTACACCGGTTTTGACGTAGATCGTAATAAAAACGGTTTGTTTGTTTTGGAGATTTTCAAGATTTTTACCGTTACTTCAAAAAATTTTCTTGAAAAATAAGTATTAAATTAAATTTTTATTTTGATATTATATTAAAAATTACGAGTGTATTTACTTTTTATTTTAAATAAAATTTTATTTTCTCTGTTTCACTATCTTAATTAATAAATAATTAAAAATATATATTATTAAAAATAATTATTATTTAATAAAAATAATTTTAAATTAAAATGAAGATAATTTATTAATATAATTAAAATTAATTTTTTTAAAAATAAGATTAAGTATATAATATTTTTTCAAAAATAAAAAATAAGACAGATAAAAATAAAAAAATAGACACTATAAATGAAATGAAGAGAGTATTATTTATTTAATATTATTTTTAATAAAAATATATTATTATTAATTTTTTTTTTTCAAAATAATACATAAAAAAAATTATTTAAATTCAAATTCAAATCATCCTCCCATTACGGATTCACCTCCGGGGACTATTTCTTAAGGGACAACTAATGATACACCTAAGGGTATGTTTGGTTGGGAAATTTTTCAAAAAATCTATTATTTATCATTATTTTTTTTAAATATCAAATCTAATATATATCATTTTTAATATTATACTAAAATACATTTAAAATATTATATCAACATATATTTGTATCAAATTATACAACTAAATTTTATATTTTTAATGTTGATGGAGAGCGTATTTTAGTTTATTATTCCTATAAGTTTTATTGGCTTGTGTTTGTGATTGAATTTGAATTTTTTATTAAAATATTTTAATGAGTATTTAATTAAAAATAATATTTTTTTCTTTATTTCAATTAAAAAAAATTATTTTTATCATCAGTCTCATTAAAAAAATATTTTTTTCTGTCCTATCTAATTTGTCGTACTTAGTGTAATTAGTAAATAATTAAAAAAATATATTAAAAGTAATTATAAATTAAGATGACTAAATAGTTTAATTAAAAGAAATAAATTATAAATTTTAAAATATGATTAAAATGTATAATTATATTTTTTAAAAAATGATAAATTATATGGGACAAATGAAGTATTATTTTTTTTATTACAGTAAAAATAATCATACAATAATATTAAAATACTTTTATTTTTTACATAAATTATACATATATTACACATTCGTTAATTTATACACAAAGTAAAAAATAAATAAATAAATAAATAAAAATCATCTTATATAATTATGCTAATAAATACAATATTATTATTTTTTTTCTTAATATACTTTAAAAACTCATAAAAATACTTTAAAGTATGACGAAGAGAGAATATTTTTGTTAAGAATAATATATGGTGGATTTGAAACTTAAACCAAACAAAATTGAAGTTAACTCGACAAAGGACACATGACATATAATCTTTGTTTCGACAGTGTGTAAGAAAATTATAAGATACTCTCTTTGTTCTAACTAAAATTATTATTTGTATCTATTTAAAATTATTAATATTCTGTTATAGCAAAGATAAATACATAATAATACCAAAATATTTTTAATTTTATATAAATTACAAATATATAATTATGATAAAAAAACTATTTTAAATTCATCTACTAACTAATAAAATATTATTTTATCCGTTCACAAATATTCTATTTTCTATTTGGAACATCAAATAACTATTTTATATATATATATATACAAAATTATATATATATTTTTACCTTTGATAAATTTACTATTTTTATTTGAGCATATTTTATCTCTATTTTACCATAAAAGATAAATTTATAAATTCATAACAAAATAAGTAATTACCTAATAAAAACTGTGTAAATATGATTAGGACAAAAAAATTGGACAAGAGAGTGTTATTTTTTTAAACTATTAAAAAATTAAAATATGTGATTGTTTTTAAGTAATTTTAGAAAAATTGATTTGAATTTGATATTAAAATAATACTATATAATATGACTTTTTTTAGAGTAAAAAATATATTTTTTTAAGTACAAAATTCAGACAATAGAATTTGAATTTGTTGATATTATGTTTTGAATGTAAATTAAATTTACATATAATATATATAAAAAAAATAAAGGTGTTTGATTTGATTTTTTAATTATTTTTTTTTTGTATAAATAGTAGAATTTTGAAAGAATTCCATAAACAAACACATTCTTCATCATTGGTTTTTTTCTTTCACAATATCTATTTATAATTAACTCGTATCATTATTACAATCCAAAATTTTTACTAGTTAAATTCAAACTCATAAACAAACATACTCTTTTCGTTTCATAACAAAGTATTCATTTTTTCATTTTAGTTCGTCCTATAACAAAGTATTCATTTTTTCATTTTAGTTCGTCCTATAACAAAGTATTTATTTCATTTTTTTAGTAATTGTACAATCTACCTAACATTACAAATATCCTTACAACTTACAATATATTATACAATTGTCATTACCTTTATATCACACAATACTAATAAGATTATTTTATTTATTTTTACTTTTATTCTTACTATATTTTAATATAATATTAATATTTTTAAAATTTCGTATAAAAAAATAAATGGATATATAGTTATGAAACGAACGAATAAATATTTAAAAAATAAAAAGAAAAACACAACACAGCACAATGGCATGTAAATTAGAAGCAGTACTGTCCCACATATATATGGGAATCATTTGCCGACAGAGAATTATAATTACAACAATTGTCCTTTCACCGGGTGTGTTTGTTTGGGTTTGGATTTTGAGTTGGAATTTTAATAATAAAAATTTTGAATTTGAATAGTTGTATAATCGTGATATAAATAGGTGTTAATGTGATGTTTTAAATGTAAAATTGAGTTTTAATATAATATAAAAAATAAAAAATAAGTGTTTGATTTGATGTTTTTTTTGAAAAATAAAATAAAATAAATAGTAAAAATAAAAAATAAAATAAATAGTGAAAATCTAATCCAATCCTCTAAACAATCACACGTGTCCTTAACAAAATGCTCTATCTTCCGCGAAACTGAGGGAGTATTATTTAAATTAAAATTTAGAGAATAAAATTCAAAGTGAATACATCCTGAATTATGATTGGTCACGTAATAGGGTCGACATGAATAGTGTAATTTAATTATTATAGATTATTAAATTATTAATAATAAGTTAAGATAATATTTTATTATTTTTTATATGTTTAGGTAATTTAAATATTTTTATAATTATATTTCAATAAAATATATATAATATGGATATCATTTTGTAGACAATAAAATTTTATATAATACAAGTGAATAAAAAAAATATATTTATTTATTTATATTATCACAAATTAATTTTATAAAAAATGAGGAGTTTTAATAAAGGTAGATAAAAATATTTGTTAACTGAGGAGATATATATAAATAAAAGGGGTTTTGAGTGGGTTACGTGTAAGATGTTAGAAGTTTAACTAGATTAATTTGTATTTATTAAGTATGTTTAAAATTGATAAACTTGCCAAAAATGGAAAAGAATTATCTTTTGTAGGACATACCAGAAAAGAAATGAGGTCATATATAGTTAGACGGAGGAATATTTTAATTAGATATTTTTGTAAAAATATATTTTTATTACAAATTGAATATAAAAAATAGAAAAATGAAGATCAATATGAATATATATATATATATGGTGTGTAATTGTGTTTTGTATTTTTTTATATATATATATATATATATTAGATATAAACAATTATAGTGATAATATAAAAAATAATATTTTTTATTATATTGTTGATTTTTTTTTTTATAAATAAAATATATGTATTATATGAGAGTGTATACATATTATTATTTTTTTTTTATAATATTTATTGAAAATAATATTAGCAAAACATATTGAGTGAACAATAAACTTGTTTGTTTAGTTATGGTTTGATATTTATTTGAAATGAAGTGTTTGACTTGAATTTTTGTATAAATAATATTTTGATGTAATATTTTATGAAAAAATTAGTATATTTTTATTGAAAATTGTATCAAATAAATAGTATTGATTTTAGTTTTTTTAAAAAAAACAGCTTCTTATTTGTTAAAAAAATAAAACTAATCATACCAAAAAATTGCAAACAACAGAATAAAGGGATGAGACAATTTCATAGAAGACATATCACACAAAGTCACCAAATCGATGGAATTTATTATACATTCGCCATAATTGCCTTTCTAAAAAAGATAAAAACATTATTCGAACAAAGTCAATAGAAACTTTGGAGATATATATATATATATATATATGTACTGGACAGACAATCCCATGTTAACTACCATTACACACATCCTTTTTAGTAACATGTTCATGAAATCTTTCATCATTAACCATTATCATTAAAATGTGTCCAACAAAACAAATTTAATGAACAACATTTCAACAAACCCCATTATTATCGAACATGTAAAATCTTTGATTAGACTAATTATAAGTACTGTAAGAAAACTAATTAAAACCAATTTGTACGAGAAATCGCAACATTCGAAACTGTAGGAAAAACCCTTCATTATATCTAATATTTGCGAACGGCTCGAGCACGATTATGTATATATATAATTTGATTATTTAACGGATTGAACTATCAATGTACGCCTAGATTGTATGAATCCAGGACCAAATCCTCAAATGAGAGATATCCCATCGCTTGATTTACAAAAATTTGACATATTTGCTATTTTTTTTTAGTTTAATTGTCTACTTAAAATATTAGAATGATAAACTATACAATAACATATAAGACCAAATAAATAATTTTTTTTTCCCTCTACATTTTATGATAGAAAATATCTTTCTTTTTTGCTGATAAATTATACGACTTTTTGATATATATATATATATTGATAACTACTTTTATGTTTGTTTAGCGATAGTGTTGAAAAAAACATTAATGTGTCAAATGTAACTAAATTTACGTCTACTTAAAATTCCTACGACAATAGCATATACAATCACGAGCCCTATAAGTGTTGATTAAATTTGTATGATGTGTGAATTTATAACTGTAAAATCACGAGGCCAAAACTCTCCACCAGTATTTTCTAAGTCGAGCATATCATATAGGGTTTTCTCTTGTTCCCACATCATAAAACAATGTACAAAAAATAAAGAACATATCATCATCATCATCATCACACATAAATTGATATGATAGAAAGAAATTTAGGTAAACTAGAAAGTAATGACAAGTTCAACAAAGGCAAAGGGCAAAGGCAATAGGGGATGGGACTTGGACAATGACACATCTCCTTTTGAAATGATACTCTAACATGCAATGTAATGAACAACAACCTATCTACTACTACTCAATTTCATCTTCTTTTAATTAACACAATCATTAGTAGTAATAAACATAACTACCAAACTAATCAAGAAAAGCAAAAAAAAAAAAAAAAAAAAAAAAAAAAAAAAGAAGAAAAGTCATTACCACCATAAACTATATTATACTCTTTCATTTCTAGGCATTATACATTTCGATCCGCAAGTCAAAATAAGTTCGAATCAATAGTTTGTCACTGATAACTTATGCAAGATATATCAAATTCAGATATTTTCACAATTTATCGATTCAGCTGTGTAATAGTATTAAAGTTATGATGTCCATAGAGGCTCCCAGAGAAGCCCAATGTTGCTTTCTTCTAGAAAACTAGTGTTGCTTTGATAACTTTGCGGGCTATTGGCAAAATCGTCAAATTGAGATGGCGTTGGCGAGGATTGTGTCATTTGCATGTAAATTAGAGCCATGAGATTATCGTGTTGGCATTGTTTGCTCACGATTTCTGCTTTTGCTTTGGCAAGTTGCTCTTTGAGATCGTTCACTTGTTTTTGGAGCTGACAAATTGCCCCTGCGCAACCGTATACTGGATCCCGTAATCTTGCATTCGCCTCGTACACCATGCTACTAACCGCATCGGCTCTTTGTGTCTCAGGGAGTTCCTAAAAAAATTTATTTATTTTTAAAATAATTTTAAACATAAATGATATTTTAGTATATTATCGAAGAAAATTAGAATATTTTTGTTTTGATTTGTTTGTATACAGATTTACAAGTTTTCTCCAAAAAGATCATATTTTATTAATTATTTCACTAAATAAATAAATTAAAACCCACAAGCACAAGCCTAAAAAAATATTTATTTGTTTTACTTTTGCTAGCTAGTTGTGGTTTTTTAAATATTATAATTTTAATACATTTTATATTTTTTACCCCTACTTTTTGTTTTGTATATTTTTATGATAATTTTTTTTTAGGATGATTTAAAATGAAAAAATAAATAAATTATATGTTATAAAAACTTACAAAAATCTTAAGATATTCAAATTAGAGACTGATGGAACAGTATGTAGAGGTGACAGCAATTTATTTATCGACCAAAATTATAAAAAATATATTTTTTGTGAAAATATCTCAGGACAGATATATACGTATGTGGAGTAGGTTAGGAACAGTCTTTTTAAATATAGATAATTATATATGTTACATTGAATATGAAATGTTAGAAAAAGACATGGACGACCATATATATAGTAACACCATAATTGCGTTTATAAATAATAATTTAATAATATTTAACTATTTTTTTGGTTGCATTTATTACACGGCTAACAGAAATAATTTTCTTGTATCGGTCTTGTAGGCTTACCTAATTGCCCAAAATTTTGACCAAGAAATAATAAAGTCTCTAGGTCTAAAATAAAATATTTAATTATTTCTATAAAATATAATATTTAATTACTATTTAGATCGTAACTCAAAATCAAATTTAAATTGTTTTGCAAGCTTGTTCACACAATAAATTTTTGTCTGATACAATTTAAGAATATATGTAAAATATACAAGGGGTGAACCTACCCACCCTTTCCCTTTTTTTAATGTTTTTATATATATATATATAATTATATTAAATTGTATTTAATTATAAATTTATCATTCTATTTTACTTCTAATTTCTTCCTTTTTTTTAATGTGTTTTCTTCTGATATTTTTATATAAAATAATTGTTGGATGTAATATAGTAAATGAATTCAGAATTATCAATATTTTTTTTAAAAAAATCAAAATATCGATTAGTTAAAATAAAAAAAAAAAAAGTGGAAAAAAAGCCAAAGTAAGCATTTTTTTAACAATTTTTTTATAAAAATTTTACTATTTGAATTCTGTTTTTTTTTTTTTTAAAGAATATATATATATTTTTTATAAAACATCTAATAAAATATATTTGAATACAAATATATATATATACCTGCAAGAACTTGATGATATTGCTGGCACCGAAGACGCGATGAGCGGTGGTGAACTTGAGGGGATCGTTTGGCGGGAAATAAGGAGCCAAGACGCATTTGTCGGGGGTGCAACGGCGGCGTAAAATTTTGCAGGCGGCGCAAGGACTAATGACCATTACAACCTGGGATTGGGATTGGGATTGAGATTGAGGATGTAATATTGGAGAAGATGAAGAGGATGAAGACATAATGTTAGTGTTTGTGTGCTCACTTCCCTTCATATATATATATATATATATATATCTTTGTGTTTTCAATTCAATAAATAGATGAATAAATAGATAGATAGATGTGTGGATTTAATGAACAAGAATAGGTAAGTTGCACATATTTAGAAGTGAGGATTTTTAGGGTTGTAAGGGTTTGTTGCTTGAGGATACTTTGTTTGTGTAATATATATATATAGGGACAAGGGGGGGTGGGGGTGGGGGAGGGGGAGGGGGGTTGGCCGGTAGTCATTTTCTTTGAAAAAGAAGAAGAAGCTATAATCATAAGTATGTTTGTTTTATTTCATTTTATTTTTTAAATAATATATGTATGTATTTTAGGTGGCAGATCCTGTTCTGATCCGACCAAATCACTATGGTACTAATTTGATTATATTTATACATATCTTCTCACATGGCCGTCTCGGATTTTTTTTAGACCCTGAGCGAAAATAAATTATAGGCCCTACAAATACATGATTAAAATGTATTTTTAATAATATTGTTGATTGACTTTGATAAGACAAGAGGTTGAACGTGACCGTTTGGACAATGTCAATTTGAGAAAAGAAATGAAAAACGGTCTGTCTGAAAGTTCAAAAAGCAAAAAGGACTGAAGGAGAGTGAAGAAAAAGTGAGACATGTTTGATCGAGTTGCTGGGGGCAGGTGTAAGGTAAAGAAGTGTAGACGATTAGAAAAAAATAAAAAATATATATATAATTAGAAATTAAAATTTAATTTTAGAATCAAATAGGATAATTACGAAGAAAAAAAAAATTAAAAGTTAAAATTTAATTTTAAAATTTAATAATAATAATAATAATAATAGATAATATTTAAAATATAGGTCCTCTGTTAATTAGGGTTCTGAGCAATTGCTCACCCGGCTCCTGCTATGAGCCGCCCCTGTCTTCTCATATGTTGTGTTATAAGATATCATACTCCCTCCGTCCCAATACAACAGTCTTGTTTACCATTTTTGTCCGTCCCAAAACAATAGTCTTATTTCCATAAATAACCATATCACCATAATACTACCCCTACTTTTTCATTTTTATTACACAATTGCCGCTACTTTTTACACTAATACACTCGCAAGAGCAAAAAAGTCTTTTACTTATACTTTTTTACCAACTATCGATGTAATATCAATATTCCTTAAATTCCGTACCCAACCCAATTAAGACTATAGTTCTGAGACGAATGGAGTAATATATAATGTATTATAAATATGTTGAAATATGTATAAATATATGCTAATCACTCCTATAACATATACTGATATAGTCAAATCAACACTATGTATGCTGATTTACCTGGATCCGCCGTTGATCCATGCCCAGGTACTCTATATATGATTGTAACCATAGCATCCGAAATGCTCAAGAAAAATGTTGGAAAAGTAAAATATTGAAATATAATTATTTTACCTTTAAGCACAGTAAATTGTATGCTTTTTTTTTTTTTTTTTAAGTGAATTGTGCAATAAAATTAAATAATATTTTATATGCTTATATTAAATAACCAGTTATATATATATATATATATATATACTCAAATATAGGAATTTTTACCTCTTGGGCATGGAGATTATTGGCAAATTCTAGTAAATATAAAAAAGATATATTGCTCGATAAAAAAAAAAAGAGGATACAATATGATAATCCATTTTATCACCATAATAATAATAATAATAATGAGATCTTTTAATTTGCTTTAGTAATATTTAAAATAGAAAAAACCAATTTGCAAAATAAAAATAAAATAAAATAAAATAAATTAATTGATAGTGTGTGTGAATTATTGGATATGGTGTAGATATGGCATTAGATGACACACATTGCAAAATAAAAATAAAATAAAATAAAATAAATTAATTGATAGTGTGTGTGAATTATTGGATATGGTGTAGATATGGCATTAGATGACACACATTGAGTACGTGGGATGTTCACATATTAGCTATACATACTTTGTGGCCTTTTTTGTTGTATGGTGGGGCTGTCTGTAATGAATGCAGGGTGGGTGGTCGATCCAGGCAATATTTAATTTTTTTTTATTTTTTATTTTTTATTTTTTTTTAAATGAGTTGGGAAAAATTTATAAATTTTCATATATATAAATATGTAGAATCGAACACAGAGTTTTGGCATCAAACGATTAATGATTCAATTACACAAAATGAGTTTTGGCATCAAACGATTTATTCACTTTTTTTTGTTTTTTTTGTTTTTTTTTTTAATTGTCATCCAAATTTATTTCTATTTTTTTTATTAGTAAAACATTACCAATTTTTTTCTATTTTTTCTTTATCAAAAAAAGTAAAAAATTCTATTTTTTACCTATTTTTCTTAAAACCTAGGTCAAATAAACACACAATTGGATAATGGAGGGAGAGAGTATCTAATACGGTAATATAGTGAGATAGCTCATTAGCACTTGGAAAAGTATATACTTCCTCCGTCCTAGAACTATAGTTTGAGTTTTGTTTCACTACAAAAAAAAAAATAATATGTTTGTAACGGAATTTCATCCCTAAAGTTCACGTAGCTAACGTAATTCTATTCATATTTCCGTTTCTAATGTCATTAGTAATAGAAAAAATAAATTTAGACACAAAAAAATTTTGTTACAAAAATGATTTTTTCTTGTAGTGTTGGCGATTTAAGGAATATTGATATTATATTGGTAATGGATAAAAAATACGGGTAAAAGACTTTTTTACCCTTGTGAGTGTATTAGTGTAAAAAATAGTAGCAATTTGTGTAATATTAATGAAAAAGTAAGGGTAGTTTTATAGTGATATGGTTATTTATGAAAATAAAACTATTGTATTGGAACGGAGGGAGTATTATAATGTACAATGATAAATCATGATATATTTATTGTTGATATAAAATCATGCGGTAATTAATCTCAACAAGAGTTATCTTTTTAGATTATGTTAATGTCTTAAGGATAATTTAGTTGATCTGCTAACCAAAAGATTAAATTAACATCAAATTCATAAGTTGCTTAAAGAAATTGTATAAAAAAATTCATACTTAAAAATGACGGTAGTATATCAAATATTTATTTTCTCTCGCAAGTTAATACATCAAATATTTAAATTTAGATTATTTTTAAAAATTTTCAATTTGTTTTTTTTAAAAAATATATGTTCAAAATGGATCGATTTCGTTTGTTTTTATGAATAAAGATTTTGATATTACGAGACAAAATAGAACCCATGTTCGATTGTTGGAGAGTTGATGGCAACTATGAAAAATCCATACACATTTTAATATAGTTTGATTTTGATTTTGATTTCTCAAACGACCAATTGGTAGTGATTTTCGAATTTATTTGTGAAGATGATATAATATCTTATAACATAAAATAATATATTTTTATTATCAATCGTGTAGACTGAATAATGTTAAATTTATGCTGAAGAGAAAATCAAATAAATTGTTGAATTTTTCTATGTTTAAATGGATTATGTATTTCAAATATTTATTTGATATATATATATATGACGATTAGGGTGTTGATTGAGTCAAATCAATTTAATTTGACTCCTTAATATAATCAAAACAGACAAGGCATCTCTATACAGTTTTATATTTGTACTGTGTTATACAAATATATTTATTACAGTGAAATCAATAATATATGATCTTATGTGGAATTGTATCATGCGTTGATATGACATGTGCTATGTAAAAATTATATAATGTATTTCCAAACACGCACAGTGTGTATTTATTATATTTTAATTTCTTACCAACTTAAATGTATTTGAAATTCAATTATATTTGTCGTCTCTTAAGATATGGGGATGAACTTGTGATTGTCATATTATTAATTCAAACTTCTGACGCTTCCATATCGCTTACTGCAAGCTATTACATTCGACCGATTAAAATTTTGGTTAGACGATGCTTTCTTTGTATGAATATAGACTTTTATTATTTATTTTTTTAGTTAGATTTCATATTTCACTATACAATATTTGTGATTTTTTTTTATAAGAAATATAATATTTTCTTTTGCGAAACATAATATCCAAACAAAAATCTAAAACTAAATTTCAAACCTATACTCCAAAATAGGATGCTGATAGTTTATTAAATATAAATGAGTAGATATATCATATATATATATATATATATATTGTGGAAAACAACTTGCGATTTGAAAAAGGTGATAAAATTTTCTACGTATATTTTAGATATTCTCAAAACCTTTTTTTTTTTTTTTAAGAAAATCATGTTAAAGAAAAATATGACATAACAACAAAAAGTATACTACCTCCGTCCACTGTCAATCTATCCATTTGTATTTGGCGTCATTGTTTTTAACATTAAAAATATCCTTATATTTGTATAATTTTTTTGTACAAAGTTTATTTCATTAGTATTATAAGACACCAATTGAAGTATTTTTGTTATTTTTTCTTAATTTGTACTATGTTTTGATATAATAATTAATATTAACATGCAAAAAATAAATAAATAAATTGACAGTGGACGGAACTATAGTATTTTAAATACAAATATATATATATATATATTTAAAGTGCACAAATAACTATATGTTCAAATAAAAACAGTCCACGTTTGTAATGAGGGATTTGTTCACTTGTGTATCCCAATTTTCACTACTGATTTATCATTATATATATATATATATGTTTGTTCTTTTTAATTTTTTTCCTTATATATATTTTTAAAAAAATTAATACACTACACGCTTTAATTATTTTATATTTCCTACATAATTCTCTGTATCTTTTATATATATATATATATTTCAAAAATCTCAAACACACCCTTCTAATTTAAAATCATATGAAGAATTTGCATTCCTCCAACTTTTTTGGATACATGCCAATTTTTCCAAAAAAAAAAAAAAAAGTATAATGTCAAGATTGCATCATTGTGATTTACAACAAAAGTCACATTACTTGAAGAAATTATGTGAAAATGTCCAAAAAAAAAAAATGTCTACATCATTATGGTAGAATTAATACTTACCAATCTTCAACAAAAATTCAAAATTAGACCAGATCAAAAATAATAAATAAATAAATAAATTACAAATGGTCCTTCTTTGTGTCACCTGTCAAAATGAGATTAATAATAATAATAATAATAATAATAATAAT